TTTATTTTTAGAGAGAGAGTGAGGGAGAGCACACCTGTGCATAAGCAGGAGGGGCCGAATGAGAGCAACTCCCAGGAGCCTTACAGCTGTGCTCAGAGCCCTATGCGGGGCTCCAACCCAGGACCCTGAGATCACAACCAGGAACCCCTGTTTCATGTTTTTTAATGTCAAATAATACTACATTTTATGAACAAACCATACTTTATTTATTCTTTAATCAACTGATAGATATTTGAGTTGTTTCTACTTTTTGGCTTTTATGAGTAATGATACTAATTGAACATTTGTTTGCAGTGTTTTGTGGTGGATATGTTTTCACTTCTACTGTTGATATATTTAGCTGAATTGCTGAGTCATTGGTAACTATATACATAAAACTTTTGAAGAACTGTCAAAATGTTGTGCCAAAGGTGTTTTGCGATTTTACGCTCATATTAGCAATATATGATGGTTCTAGTTTCTACCGCTTTACTCACACCTATTTGAAATAGCTGTCCTAGTCAGTGTCAAGTGGTATTTCATTATTGTGATTTGGTTTGCATTTCCCTAATGGCTATTGATATTGAGCACCTCTTCATGTATTTAGTGGTCTCATATAAATCTTTTGGAGAAACGTCTGTCCAGATCCTTTGCTGGATTTTAATTGGGCTTTTTTTTTTTTTTTGAATTGTAAGAATTCTTTTTTTTTTTTTTGTAATAAATTCATTTTTTATTGGTGGAATTGTAAGAATTCTTTACATGGTATAGATGTATTATTGTATATGATTCACAAATATTTTCCCCCATTTAGTGGGTTTACCATTTACATTCTTGATTATTTTGAAGCACAGATGTTTTTCATTTTGATAAAGTATGCTTGTGTTTTCCATGGTTGCTTGTGCTTTTGGTGTCATGTCTGAGTAACTGTTGCCTAATCCAGTTTTCTCAGCACCATTTATATTAAAAAGAATATTCTTTTCCCATTGAATGGTCTTGGCATCTTTTTTTTTTCTTTCAAGATTTTATTTATTTATTCATGAGAGAGACACAGAGAGAGAGAGGCAGAGACATAGGCAGAGATGATCCTGATGCCAGACCCAATCCCAAGACTCCAGGATCACCACTCGAGCCAAAGGCAGATGTCAACCATTTGAGCCACTCAGGTGCCCCAATGGTCTTGGCATCTTAGCTGAAAATCATTTGACCATATATGTGATGATTTATTTCTGGGCCCCCAACTCCTTTCTTTTGATTTATGTGCCTTGTCTTTATGTCAGTACCACAAAGTGTTAATTACCCTATTTTTATAGTAACTAATTATACTTTTGAAATTGGAAAGTGTGAGTCCTCCAACTTTATTTTCAAGATTGTTTGGGTTTTCTGGATCTTTCACATTTCCATTTTAATTTTAGGACCAGTGTTAACTTCTGCAAAAAAGCCAGCTGGGGTATCATACTGGATCTGTATGTCTATTTGGGCAGTGTTGCCATTGTTAATAATATTAAGTTTTTCTAAGCTATATACAAAGGATGGCTTTCTATTAATTTAGTTGTGTTTCATTTATTTCAATGATATTTTATAGTTTTCTGTGTATAAGTCCTGTGCTTCTCTTGTTCAATTTATTCCTAAGTATTTTATTGTTTAAAAATTTTATTCTTTTTTGATGCTGTTATAAACGAAATGGTTTTCTTAATTTTTTTTTTTTAAAAACTTTTATTTATTTATGATAGTCACACACACACACAGAGAGAGAGAGAGAGAGAGAGAGGCAGAGACACAGGGAGGGAGAAGCAGGCTCCATGCACCGGGAGCCCGACGTGGGATTCGATCCCGGGTCTCCAGGATCGCGCCCTGGGCCAAAGGCAGGCACCAAACCGCTGCGCCACCCAGGGATCCCCGGTTTTCTTAATTTTATTCTCAGGTTGCTTACTGCAAGTATACAGCAATACAGTTGATATTTGTACATTGTTTTTTGCATGTTGCATCTTTCCTGAACACCTTTTTTTGGGTTCTAATTGTTTTATTCTTAATTCCTTAGGATTTTCTATATACATGATCATTTCATCAACTAATAGAGATAGTTTTTTTTTTTTTTTTTTAATTTTTATTTATGATAGTCACACAGAGAGAGAGAGAGGCAGAGACACAGGCAGAGGGAGAAGCAGGCTCCATGCACCGGAAGCCCTACGTGGGATTCGATCCCGGGTCTCCAGGATCGCGCCCTGGGCCAAAGGCAGGCGCCAAACCGCTGCGCCACCCAGGGATCCCCTAATAGAGATAGTTTTACTTCATCCTTTCTGATCTGGGTGTCTTTTATTTACTTTTTCCTTGCCCAATTGCCCTGGCTAAAGCTTCCAGTGCAGTGTTAAGCATAAGTAGAATGAACAGGCATTCTCTTGTCTTATTCCTGATCTTAGGGAGAAAGCAAGCATCCAGTCTTTCACCATTAACTGTGATGTTAGCTATGACTTTGAAAGATGGCCCTTCAGTTTAAGAAAGTTCCCTTATATACCTCATGTGTTAGATGGTTTTTCTTTGTCGAGATGATCATTCCTTTTTATAAATATACCCTTCAGTCTTTTAACATAATGTATTAATTACATTGATTGATTTTTCTTTTTTTTTAATTTTTATTTATTTATTTATGATAGTCACAGAGGGAGAGAGAGAGGCAGAGACATAGGCAGAGGGAGAAGCAGGCTCCATGCACCGGGAGCCCGATGTGGGACTCGATCCCGGGTCCCCAGGATCACGCCCTGGGCCAAAGGCAGGTGCTAAACCGCTGCGCCACCCAGGGATCCCCTTGATTGATTTTTCTTATGGGAGCTGCAAATCCACAGGAGGACCAGTCACAGCTTCTCAAGGATTTATTCACCTTCCTGCTTCCCTTCTGCTTTGTGCCAAAGCACCTTTCCTTGTGATTTTTTGGAAGTTTGGGCATGGTGTACTTTTGCTTCATTGTAACTCTGGGTAGAATCCTTTGGGGCCCTAGTTTATTCTCTCTCTTTTTAAAAAATATTTTATTTATTTATTCATGAGAGAGAGAGAGAGAGAGACAGAGACACAGGCAGAGGGAGAAGCAGGCTCCATGCAGGGAGCCTGACGTGGGACTGGCCAAAGGCGGTGCTAAACCACTGAGCCACCTGGGCTGCCCCCCTAGTTTATTCTCTTTTAAACTTTTGCTCTTTATACTTTATTAACGGGGTCACAAAAAAAGCCCTCAGGACAAAATCCATTTCAGTGCTGTATTTATTTCTCTAGGTTATTACCATGTTAGTTTTTGGTTTGTAGTTCTTCAGTCTCGTCAGTGCTTTGCAATTTTTTTTTTTTTTAATGATAGTCACACAGAGAGAGAGAGAGAGAGAGAGAGAGAGGCAGAGACACAGGCAGAGGGAGAAGCAGGCTCCTTGCTCCCTAGCCTGATGTGCAACTCCATCCCTGGACCTGGGATCATGCCCTGAGCTGAAGGCAGATGTTCCCCAGGCTCCTCCCCACCCTTTTTAAAGATTTTGTTTATTCATGAGAGACACAAAGAGAGGGAGAGGGAGAGAGGCAGAGACACAGGCAGAGGGAGAAGGCAGAGGGCTCCTCAATAGGGAGCCTGATGCAGTACTGGATCCTAGAACTCTGGGATCACGCCCCGAGCTGAAGGCAGATGCTCAACCGCTGAGCCACCCAGGCATCCCAGAAAATTGTTTTTCAAATCTAATCCTAATACAGTTTTATGCTGTGTTTCCATATGTGCTATCGAAGGAGTAAAATCCTTTGCCAAACTTACTGTTCCCATGATTTTATTTTTTCCTTTTGGTCTCAACTTTCGCATTTTTTTGATTGAGAGAACACCAGTTGTTTCTCATTCAACTGAGGCATAAGTAGTTTCCTCGGAGGTCATTGTGTCATGAAATACTTCTTGCTTCTCAAGTACACTATGTCCTACATTCTGTGTGTATTAGCTTTTGCTCCCAAAGACCTTATAAAATGATTATAGCTTGTTAAACTGGGAGAAATTTTTATTTGGAATTTATAGTATTTATTTTACCATTAATTCAAAGAAAAATGTACTTTGAGAATTTGACAATAAAACATGGTATATGGGTAGCCCAGGTGGCTCAGTGGTTTAGCGCCGCCTTCAGCCCAGGATGTGATCCTGGAGACCCAGGATGGAGTCCCACGTCGGGTTCCCTGCATGGAGCCTGCTTTTCCCTCTGCCTGTGTCTCTTCCTCTCATTCTTTCCGTGTCTCTTATGAATAAATAAATGAAATCTTTTAGAAAATAAAAACATAATTTTTTTTTTGCTTAAAAGGTACCCCAAGCTCTTTATTTTTATCGTACTTTCTGTCTTTGGCATACATGCCATATACTTTTTATGTTATTGAGGTAATGGTATAAATAATTATAATTTTTAGTGATTCTGTTGAGAAAGAGTCCTTAGTTTGTTTTCTTTCTTTCTTTCTTTCTTTCTTTCTTTTTCTTTCTTTCTTTCTTTCTTTTCTTTCTTTCTTTCTTTCTTTCGAGTCCTTAGTTTTCTAATGTGAAACTCAGATCACAGCCATGGCATTAAGTGTGTGTAAAGTGCTTTTGAAATTCACATGGTATGGTAGTACTGATTAGGTAAATATTCTGTCTGAATATCTGTCTGGTATTCTAAACACATGTTATTCCAGGGAGATGTTATTAAAATAATTTATGATATATTTGATGAATATGTTTGATTTAGACTATATTTTAATGTTAGCTGTTTCTGTCACTGTGGGACACTATAGTTAGTTTCAATTTTATCTTTTTTTCAAAAATTTTTCCCATAACTTCATATGGGCTATGTATAAAAGCAACAAAAGTCTCTTCTCTTAACTTTTGCATATGATAAATCATAGGAAATTGCTTTTAGCCTCTTGGAGCTTAAGCAGAGTTTTTTTGAGAATTTCTCATCTCTCTACCTTTGATAGTGTAGAGATAATTGCATGAAAGCAGTAGGCTTTCCTCTAACTTTTTGGTTAATATGAAGTTGTTTCTCTTTTAGCTGTGCGGTCAGAGAAGAAACGCCTTAGGAAGCCAAGCAAGTGGCTTCTGGAATATACAGAAGAGTATGATCAGATATTTGCTCCTAAGAAAAAACAAAAGAAGGTACAGGAACAGGTGCACAAGGTATGTTTCAACATTTCAACAGTCTTTTCATCAATACTTTTAGGATATTGGAGTTTTATCTTCAATATCATGTTTTGTCTGTATGGGACAATATTTACCTTAACTGGTATTTTACTTTTTCCATTTTTTTAATCTCCAGCTTCTGGCACAATACTTAGAATATGCAGGAAATGTATTAATGAGTCTATGCACTGTGTGTAGTATGTGCATGTATAACTTTTTTTCTCCCTTTGCTTTCAAAGAATAGTGATTTAGGAATACTATTATGATAAAATATTTATTAAAATCATAGAACATAAAATATGGTAGCATATTTTTTAATTTTTTTAAGGATTTATTTGAGAAAGAGCATAGAGGGGAGGGGCAGAGCAAGAGAGGGAGCGAGAATCTGAAGAGACTCCATTCTGAGCACAGAGCCCCATATGGGACTTGATCTCATGACCCTCAGATCACCACCTGAACAAAACCAAGAGTCAGAGGCTCAACTGACTGTGCCACCTGGTACCCCAGGATTGTAAAAAAAATTTTTTTTAAATGAGGAAAGAGCAAATATATTTTTTTAAATTTTATTTATTTATTCATGATAGTCACACACACAGAGAGAGAGGCAGAGACATAGGCAGAGGAAGAAGCAGGCTCCATATAGGGAGCCTGACGTGGGATTCGATCCCGGGTCTCCAGGATCGCGCCCTGGGCCAAAGGCAGGCGCTAAACCGCTGCGCCACCCAGGGATCCCGGATTGTAATTTTTTAAACAAGTGTTATCCTTATTTACTTTATTTTTTAATTTAGTTTTTTGAATTTTTATTTAGTAATCTCTGTATCCAACTTGGGGCTCAAACTCATGACCCGAGATCAGGATTTGCATGCACTTCCAGCTGAGCCAGCCAGGCATCCCTGAATTCAATTTATTAAAGCTCTCTTACTTTAAAGTAAATTAGAGACATTTTATTTTCTATCCCTAAATAACATGCACCTCTAAAAAATAGAATATTTTCCTTCAGAAATGATTTTCCTTTATCTTTTTTTTTCTTTTCTTTTTTGTAACTTTACTGCATCTTAAGATCAGTTTAGATTATCTAATAACAAATTTGTATTCGAATTTCCTTATTTGTCCTCTAACTTTACATTTGGCTTATTCGTTCTAGGACTACGCATTATATCTGGTTGTAACATTTCTTAAATTTATTTACATCTAGAACAGTCCCCCTTTTTTTCATGACTCTAAGTAAGAGCGATACCCTTATAGTGTCTCCTTTCTAGATATGTATGATTGCTTCTTCACTGTTGTCACTAAACTATTCTCTATCTTCCTTCTTATGTGGAAATTATAACTAACAATTTGATGGATTCAAGTAAAACAGCTTTAGCTAGATTAGATTATAGGTCCTTTTAATGTCATTTATTGCATGACATTAAAAGTTGTTCCCAGGTCCTGACGGATTTCCTCTCTTTTAGATTATATTTTGTTCCTTTTGATCAAGGAGCAGTATGTGGGAGTGCCTGGGTGGCTAGTTGGTTTAGTGTCTGACTCTTGGTTTTGGCTCAGGGCATGATCTCAGAATCCTGAGATCAAGCCCAGCATCAAGTTCTGTGCTCAGCAGGGAGTCTGCTTCTCTGCCTCTCTCTTCCTCTCCTTCTCCCTCTCCTTGCTTGTTCTCTAAAATAAATCTTTAAAATAAATAAATAATAATAAATAAATAAATAGATAGATAGATAGATAGATAGATAAAATCTTAAAAAAAAAAACACACAGCATCAGCAGTATGTGTGTAAGTAACTTTGACTTCAAAAATATGTCCTCTTCTCTGTCCACCATTTCCCTGGTAATGTTTAAAAATATCAAAGAAACCTTGCCTGTATCAGTAATTTCATTAGGAGTTCAAAATAAAAATTTACAGATTTTATTATCTCTTCTACTTTTATTAGCTGGCATGTACTCTCATTAACTGAACAACTTTATTGTCTTTATATACATGAAAGCACCATAAATGCTTATTTCTTTTCCTATTAATTTACATTAGGAATTCATTATTAGCTGCTTTATTGGTGACATACTAGGAAATCTATCTGAATGGGGAGGATTATTGTTATGGCCTTAAAGAATTTTTATAGCTTTAGTGTATCTCAATTGCACTTTTTCCCTTTTTAAAAACTTATAGTAAAATATATATAACAAAATTTATAAACACTTTTATATAATCTGTGTCATTAAGTACATTCACATTGTTGTACAACCATCACCATCATCTGTCATCTGTAGAACTTTTTCATATTCCCAAACTAAAAATCTACCTATTAAAAAATAACTTCGTTGGGCACCTGGGTAGCTCAGTGGTTGAGCATCTGTCTTTGGCTCAGGTCATGGTCCTGGGGTTCTGCAGGGAGCCTGCTTCTCCCTCTGCCTATGTCTCTGTCCAACTGCCATGAATAAATAAAAAAATCTCAAGAAAAACCCAAACAATTTTCCACTCTCCTCTCCTCTCAGCTCCTGGCAAGCACCATTTTCTTTTCTTTTCTTTTCTTTTCTTTTCTTTTCTTTTTCTTTTCTTTTCTTTTCTTTTCTTTTCTTTTCTTTTCTTTCCTTTCCTTTCCTTTCTTCTTTCCTTTCCTTTCCTTTCCTTTCCTTTCCTTTCCTTTCCTTTCTTTTCTTTTCTTTTCTTTTCTTTTCTTTTCTTTTCCTTTTTTTTTTTTTGAGAGAGAGAGAGTGAGAGAGTGAGCATATGGAGAAGAGGGACAGAGGGTCCAGTGCAGATCCTGATGTGGGGCTTGGTCTCATGACCCTGATATCATGACCTGAATTGAAATCAAGAGTCAGACACTTAACTGACTTGAGCCACCCAATTACCCCATTTCTATTTTCTGTCTCTATGAATTTGATTATTCTAGATAAACCTAATATAAGTAGAACCATATAGTATTTGTCCTTTTGTGTATGGCTTACTTCACTTAGTGTATAGTATCTTCAAGGTTCATCCATGTTGTAGCATGTGTCAGAATTTCATTTTTAACTGCATTATTCTTTTTAACCCTGAAATTATAGCACCTTTGTTCTATGGATTCTACTTTTACTTTTTGCCCTTAGGTAAGTTCCCGCTGTGAAGAGGAAAGCCTTTTAGCCCGATGTCGATCTAGTGCTCAGAACAAGCAGGTGGATGAGAATTCTTTGATTTCAACCAAAGAAGAGCCTCCAGTTCTTGAAAGGGAGGCTCCATTTTTGGAAGGGCCCTTGGCTCAGTCAGAACTTGGAGGTGGACATGCTGAGTTACCACAGCTGACCTTGTCTGTGCCTGTGGCTCCCGAAGTGTCTCCACGGCCTATCCTTGAGTCTGAGGAGTTACTAGTTAAAACACCAGGTAAGATGAAGTTGGGGGTCTCAGAATGTAAGTAGATACAATTTTATTTTATTTTATTTTATTTTTTTAAATTTTTTTTAAAATTTATTTATGATAGTCACACACACACACACACACAGAGAGAGAGAGAGAGAGAGAGAGAGAGGCAGAGACACAGGCAGAGGTAGAAGCAGGCTCGTTGCACCAGGAGCCCGACATGGGATTCGATCCCGGGTCTCCAGGATCGCGCCCTGGGCCAAAGGCAGGCACCAAACCGCTGCGCCACCCAGGGATCCCTAGATACAATTTTATCATGTTGTGGTAAAAAGCCAATAGTGAAATCTCTGTATAACAAACTACCCACTTTTGTTCTGGGAAATCCTGAAAGTACTGGCTAACTAGATATAGATAATGACCATGAATTGGTGGTACATTTCTAGAAGACATGTTTTAAAAACTCCTCTCCTTTCTCTACTATTACTCTTCATAATTGTTGATCAACCACTATGTGAGTCAACCAACACTCAGGATAGCAGGGTTTTGGGGAAGGACACTGCATGCTAATAAACACATGAAACTTATGCTTCAGATACTGGCTCTAACAATTCTTATGTTATTTAGGAAGTTGTTTAACTTTTAAACTTCCTCATTTATAAAATAGACACTATAATGTAATTACCTGACACATTGTAAGTAACTAAGTGTAAATATCCCCTTGAAGTTAATTACCAATTGCTTTTCACTTTTATCATTCTTTATTATGCATGTCACCTGGTGGGAGTTGGATCTAAACATATGGTCTCTAATTTACCTTCTGATTCTTGAATATTGTAGTCACTCAAGGAAGATTTTGGATGTAACTATTTTTTACATTCCCAACAACAGCTTAGGTTGGTATTTAAAAAAAAAAAGGTATCCACTTGTGCTTATTAATCAAGTAAGATAGAATCAAAAAGACTAAAAATAGTAAGGATAGGTAGTACTATTTCATAATTTGGCATGTGCCAGACTTTGTTATTAGGCTCTTTTATATATTCTTAAGAATAGTCCTACAAAGTAAATGTGTGTTTTGTTTATTTAGGAGCAGATAAAATTTTAATCCTGATCCTGTTATGCCCAGAATTCAGGCTCTAGTCCACCTCACTTCTCCTTTTGTCCTTACTACCAATCAATTATTATATAGTTCTGCTCTTTTGATTTCTCCCTTAGTCCCTTTATGTTACATATACAAAGGCATTTTCACATTAGTTTGTGCCTGTGTTGAGAATTGTTTTCCTATTCTATTTTATGTTAACTAATATTTTAGAAGAAATAAATCCATTCCTATCCTGTCCGTCCCCAGAAGATGATGAGGAAAACATAAAAAATATGACGACTCATTTTTTCTGTGGCATATAGATTTTTTTAAAAAATTAGTTTGTGCCCAATTTCTGAATCATCTAATGAAAAGATACATTCATTTCAGGAAATTATGAAAGTAAACGTCAAAGAAAACCAACTAAGAAACTTCTTGAATCCAATGATTTAGACCCGGGATTTATGCCCAAGAAAGGGGATCTTGGTCTTTCTAAAAAGGTATGTATCTTAGTCAATTCTACGATATGATTAAACCATATGGAAATAATGAGATTTTAAAAACAAATCTCTTGATAATATATAGCAATATTGATGCACACATACATAGAAATTACAGAATGGCAGAGTACACTGGTTTGGTCTCAGAGATCCTCTATTGAGAAGCTATTTTGCATTTGTGTTGAGGTGAGTTATAGTTCATTTTAGATTTTCTTTTCAGATGAAAATGGAAAGAGCTTTTAAGATTGAGTAAAGTGTGTGTTTGTTATTTCTTTTCTGGGAGAAAGAAACCTCTTAACTGCTTTCTACTTCTGTCTGTATAAGCCACTAACCAACTCTTATCCCATTGTCATGTCTGTATTAACACCTCAGAAAAGACTTGGCTCAGGTGTAAACCAAGTAGAAACATTTGAACTTAAGTTTCTGAGTTTGGAGGTATGGGTTTTATTGACCAAGAAAGCGTCATTAAATAGTAGATACAAATAGAAAATTATTTTCCTGAATATTAATTTTTAGGAAACCTCCCCTTTCCCATGTGTGTGAGGAGTAACTCAGGCTAAGTGTTAGAAATTCAGTTGTTAGGATGCACAGATTTCCTATTAAAATTTTCTATCTTTAAAGAAAAAATACTGATGGTATTCAAATCAAAAATAATTTGAGTTTTTAGACTTACTTCCTTACCTGTAACAGGCTTCTATCATTTAATCCTGGAACCTAATTTTCTTTTTTTGTTAGATATTCATCCATCTGAATTTACATGTAAATGTAAAACTCAGTTTATTTGTTTCTGTGCCTCATTTTAAAGGCTGCATTATATCCTTTCATTCTTTGGTTCTTCTCAAAGTCCATCTTCTAAGACCTGCCCTAGTAAGGCTGTGATAGTTTTCTTCTGCAGTGTTTTCTTTCCTGGCTTTGTTTTAATCAAATCTTAGCCACTTGGCAAGATTGTTGGAGGAGGTACATAGTAGTACATAGTAAGGGATAGGGAAACTGTGATTCATTTGAATATTTGCAATCCGGTGATAGATTTAATAGTATTTATATAAAATAAATTATGTAAGGCTGCTATATTAAGCTACAGGTGAGGTAATAACAAATTTAAAAGAAAATCAGAATTTGGGTCAGTTTAGTAAATGATTTGTTCCCCTGTTTTATTGAGATATAGTTGACATACATAAGTTAATGATTTGATTAGCGTATATAGTGAGCCTTTGGAAATCGACTGGTATATTTTAGCTTGTTTTGACCTTAAAATTTTGGAACGTTACAGCAAGAATAGCATTTATGTTGACTTTTTGTGGCCACTAAATTTTGTTTTAATCCTGTTGAAGAGTATTTTTATTGTAGAAGACATTTTCTTGGACTGGAGCTAATTCTTTTAAGCATTAGTAGTAGGGGAATATAATGTGTAGGAAATTACTCTGAGTATTTTGTTTTGGGTTTTAATGTTGCTTTCATTTATATTAATCTATAGCTAATTAAATCAGAAAGACATTCCATGATTCAGAACTTTCTGGTATATGTGCTGCTGAAGTGAGCACCGATTCAAAGATTTTTTAATATTTAGAATTCATTAAAGAAGTGTAAAACCTAATGGTTATAAATGCAATTTTATTTATTTTATTATTTATTTACTTGTTTGTTTGTTTATTTATTTATTTATTTAAAGATTTATTTATGACAGAGAGAGAGAGAGGCAGAGACACAGGAGGAGGGAGAAGCAGGCTCCATGCCTGGAGCCCGACGTGTGGGACTCGATCCCGGAACTCCAGGATTGCGCCCTGGGCCAAAGGCAGGCACTAAACTGCTGAGCCACCCAGGGATCCCCTTATTTTATTTGTAAAAAAATTTTATTTATTTATTCATGAGAGACGCACACAGAGAGAGAGAGAGACAGAGACACAGGCAGAGGGAGAAGCAGGCTCCATGTAGGAAGCCCAATGTGGGACTCGATCCCGGGTCTCCAGGATCAGGCTCTGGGCTGAAGGCGGCGCTAAACCGCTGAGCCAGCCGGGCTGCCCATAAATGCAATTTTAAAAAGATAGATTTTAAATATCGGGTGATATAAAATAGAACTGCAATGATGGGTCTCTGGGAATATACCCTTTCTCTTTGTCTACTACTTCAGTCAGAGCACCATTCTGTATCTTCCGGTTAACTCCTACCACCACCCCCTTAAAGGAGGATGTGTTTGTATGAGGTTTTTTTTTTTTTAATATTTTATTTATTTATTCATGAGAGACACACAGAGAGGCAGAGACACAGGCTCCATGCAGGAAAGCCCGATGCGGACTCGATCCCGGGACTCCAGGATCACCCCTGGGCTGAAGGCAGGTGCTCAACCACCCAGGCGTCCCTGTGTCTTTTTGTCCCCTGAGTCTTTTGGAGCTGTGTTGTTTTTTTGATGTCTTTCCCCAGGTAGTTTTATTTCAACCCATTATTGTTAATATTGTTTTTTTAATTGTTAGAAAACAGCCAGGGTTTCTGTATTTGTGATAATAGTTCAGCTTTTGGCACGTAATATAAAGTTTATTTTGTGTTCATCTGTAAATCTGTTGCGTTTTGTTTACTTGTAGTGTTATGAAGCTGGTCATTTGGAGAATGACAGTGAATCACGTGCTGCATCTAGGGAGTACGGTGGAGGTGCGTATTTTTGAGATTTAAAAAATGTAGTGCAGAGTAACTATGAAGCACCTTGTCAGCTAAGTAGAAGTTGTTCCATATGTAAGCAAGACCAATGAGGTTGCATCTTCTAAGACTTGTATGCCCAACAAGTGCCTGACTTGCTCAGTTGGAAGAGCAGAGACTCTCAATCTCAGGGTCTTGAGTTGAGCCCCATGTTGCATGTAGAGATTACTTAAAAATAAGTAAATTAAAAAAAAGAAAACCTTTGCTCGAAATATGCTTCCTCACATGCATGACACTAGAAAATTGGATGGTCATTTTCAGTGTTAGGCTGAAATTAGTTACATGGAATTATTAGAATAAGGAAATGTTAGAAACAAAGAAAAATCAGCTCCTTAAATTTCATATTAACTGGTTTTCCAACTGTAATCATTACTTTCTTGGCTTTGATTTAATTTTATTCTATAGAACAGAAATTGTGGAATCTGAGTTGAGAGGGAAATTACAAGCCCTACAAACCAGTCTTTTATAAATAGTCTTAGTTTCTTTTATCACATCTATGATCTTTGGTGAATGAACATATCCTTGAAAAAGAGAGTTTATATTTGAGCCTGGTCCATTGTAATGGCTTCAAAATTTTAAGGGCTTGGAAATCTTTATATATATATTTTCTTTTTTTAGAGTGCAAGCAGGGAGGGGCAGAGGGAGAAGGAGAGAGAAAATCCTAAGCAGGCTCTATGCTCAGTGCAGAGACCAACACAGGGCTCAGTCCCATGATCCTGAGATCATGACCCGAGCTGAAATCAAGCATTGGATCCTTAACTGACTGAGCCACTTGGATGTTTAACTGACTGAGCCACTCAGGCACCCTGTGCTTAGAAATCTTTTAGATGGCATTAGAATCTGACTTCTGAAAGTTATACATTGTGATCTTGGTCCTACTGATAGGAATGGGCAGCCCTTCATTTAGTAACAGACACATTATTGTAATTTGAGCATTTCTTTGCTCAGATCCTTTGCTCAGTCCATTGCTTAGGACTATTAACTCCTAATCCATATAAAGCAATACAGAGAGTTAGGGTATTAACCGTGTTATCCTTATCTTCTAGAAAAACACGAAGATGAAAGAGGTGGCAGGGTTGAAGAACTAAATCCAGACCTGATCAAATTCATTGCCGTACTACCACCTTGTTATCCACCCCAGATTTTCTCCCTGTCAATTCTTTCTACCACTTAGATCATTCATCTGCCAGTGCTGTTTATTGATTAGTGTCATTTCTGAGATATTAGCCCAAATTTGAGCACATGGCATCAGATGTGGTCTGCCAACAAAGGGTTGGTTATAGTAGTTCTCATGGGAAGGTTATAGTACATGTTAATTTTTTTTAAGGTTTTATTTATTTATTTGAGAGAGAGAGGGCCTCCAAAGGGGGATGGGGCAGAGGGGTAAGAGAGAAGCAGACTCCCTTTTGAACAGGGAGGCCAGATGCAGGGCTTGACCCCAGGACCCCAGGATCTTGACCTGAGCTGAAGGCTGTTGCTTAACTAACTGAGCCACCAAGGTACCCCTTCATGTGATCTTAAATGAGTGCATTTTTTTTTTAAGATTTTATTTATTTATTTGAGAGAGAGTGCATGAGTGAGTGAACGATTACAAGTGGAGGGAGGGTAGGGGCAGAGGGAAAGGGAGAATTAGATTCCCTGCTGAGCGGGGAGCCCAATGCAGGGCTTGAATTCCAGGATCCTGGGATCATGACCTAAGCTGAAGGCAGATGTTTAACTGTTTGAGCCACTCAGGCACCCTTTCAATGAGCACATCTTTAAATGTGGCCAATGATTATTAAGTGTTCTAGTAAGTAAATCTAATAATATGTTAGCTTATGTTAACCTCATGTTCATATATAATTTCATAGACTCCCCAGTCTGCTTGCTTGCTTGCTTGCTTGCTTGCTTGCTTTATTTATTTATTTATTTATTTATTTAGCTTGCTTTAAAAAAACTTTTCAAAATAATATCAGCTCTTATGTTTTTGTAATTCAATTTTTGTAAAATGTACAGCTTCCACTTTATCTTTTGTAAATTTCATCTAAATGTTTCAGTTCCTGAGAACTTCGAACCTTTATTCTTCTATCATATTAGTTCTTTTAGTCATAGACAGAAGCTTTGATAGCAGAGCTTCTTCGTCTCCATCAGGCAGTCTCAAGAAGAGAGTACTAAGCCAGTTTTCCAAAGTCTAGTCTTCATGTTGATACTTAGCCTAATTACCTTGGAACATTTTTTGATATATCACTCCAAATTCCTCTTGATAGTTCTATAACAAATATACAGTAGGTAATGAGGGAGTGATTGGAATTTCATTTTGTAAATATGCCAGATTAGATCATATATTTATTTTATGTTAGTGGATGTTCAAGATTGTATTATTGTGTGAATATCTTTTAAGCTACTAAATGTTTTGGGGGAGATTTCTCTTTTCCCCAAGCCAGATTTTTGTATTTCAGCTTTTTATCTTAATTCATAAATCATATAGTGATATGATTTACTGTCTTTAATTGTGGAGATTAGATTTTAGTATCTTTTCCTGACTCCTAAATGTATTTTCTCCCCATCTCTAGGATAGTAAAGTCCTTTGAGGAACTCTGAAGTCTTTCATTTCAATCATGTAAAATGAAATTACTTTAACCTATGTATTCATTTACTATTTAATCCTCAAGAGACAGAATTTTTGTATATGTAGATATTTCCCCAACTAGTTACATAGTCATGGGTAAGTCTCCTCCTCCCTGTGCCTTTTTCTTCATCTACTAAGTTGAGGAATTAAACGGACTCCAAGATTGGTTTTTAATTCTTAATATTCCATAATTCTGTGAGGTCCTTTTAGTTGAGGATAGGAGTTTTTGGATGTGTGAGTAGCCAGCAGGTAACACATGTTTTCCTGTTATAGGCGCTGCCAAGATATTTGATAAACCAAGAAAGCGAAAACGACAGAGGCATGCTACAGCCAAGGTGCATTGTAAAAAAATGAAAAATGACGACTCTTCAAAAGAAACTCCAGGCTCAGAGGTATTACTCAGTTCCTCATCTTTTGACCTTGCAAAGAAAATCTACTTTTCATAGTAGAGGCCACTCCCCTTTCCCTTGAGTTTACTTAAGAATATAATGCTCTACTGAAGCAGCTCATTAATAGCTCTAAGACATATAAGGCAACTTTAGATGTGATCTTTTTAAAAGATCACATCCTATGCTCCAGGTGTCTGATAAGTTTTATAACTGTTTCATCACGAAGTAATAAGCCTTTTCTAAAACCAGAGAGCACAATACCAAGTAACCATATCATCTGAATGAACTTGCATATTTTCCTTTAAAAGTTGAGACTGCTACAGTTAGAGGGGAAAGTCATTTGCTTATTTCTTGAGACCATCAACTGTTTAATTCTAGAATAATGTTTATAAACATTGGCTTTAAGGAAACAAAGGTAGATTTAAAACCATTTCCTTATAGAGCATCATTGCAGTCATTGATGCTATGTCTGGCTTTTCAACTCAGGTTAAAGGAGAATTAGAACAAGTGAGGTCAGCATTACACATTATGATACAGAGTGTTTCTTTCCAGGATAATTTGAATAGAATGCCCAAGGGGGCATTATTTAGGAAACACTGATCTTGGAAGGACAAATAAGTAATCAAATAAACTTAAGAATGTTTTCTCTCCCTTAGTGAAACCTTAAAATGGAACAGCTCAAAAAGTTCCAGTGGAACAGCCTCAGAGCAGTTAGTGGCAGGGCATGAGGCGCCCACTACCCGCCCAATCACAGCAGGGTTAGAACTAACATTGCATGCAGTCCGCCCGCGTGATTGGCTGAACATCTGTAAGTGCTTAATGGCTAGACAAATAGCAGCTCAGAGGGAGGGGGTCAGATGGAGGAGACATCAATAATACAAATGTGGGACATTATTTTTTCTCTGCAAGGGAGAACTGATGACACACCGAACGGCTGCAAGCCCCAAGGAGACTGTTGAGGAGAGTGTAGAGAACGATCATGGGATGCCGGCATCTAAAAAGCTGCAGGGCGAACGAGGCGGAGGAGCTGCACTCAAGGAGAATGTTTGTCAGGTAGAAGATGTTGCCCACTTGAATTTTGATTGCTTGCTTGTCTTTTAAGTGAAGCCTTCTCCATCTCTTGATAACCCATTCTTGGTTAGAGTAAACATTTTCCTCTATGATTCTAATGGAAATTAACCTTTTAAGAATATCCGTCTTTCCCCTCCTCACAAAAAGAGAAAGAAAAAGAAATATTTAGTGTTGCTGGACCGCTTGCCTTTGTTGCCCATGAATAAATGCCTTGAAGCAGGCCTGAAACAGATGGGAGAAGATGAATTTGTCATTGCTTAAAAGGATCATTCTCCTATACCTCTCATGGTGTGAGAGTCTCTGGGTTTCTAAGGAATGTTGCAAAGGAAATTTTCAGTTTGAGATTTCTTTTGCTTTAAAGTAGTGACTTTAGAGTACCTACCACCTGTTTTTTTATATTTATTTAATAGGTATTTATACAGTGTTTATTATGTGTCAAGAGTTTCTACCACCTTATAAATATTCTGGGGATGCCTGGGTTAAGCAACCCACAATTGCTTGTGGCTCCGATCATGACCACAGGGTCATGCAATTGAGCCCCACCCCGTCTCTGAGCTGGGCATGGAGCCTGCTTAAGATTTTCACTCTCCCTCTACTGCCCCCCCAAAATAAGTAAAAGAAAATAAAATTTTAAAATAAAAAAAATAAAACTTTTACAAACACTACATCATTTAGTCCTAAACAGTATTGTAGATTACTGTTATTATCCTCATTTTTATAGGTGAGGAAACTGAGGCACAGAGATGTTACCTAACTTGCTTATAGTCACACAGCAAAGCCAGGATTCAAACTGAAGCAATCTGCGTTTAGAATCTTAACTACTATGTTGTGTTGCCTCTTTATAAATAGCCTTCATCAGATTTGGGAATAGAGTCGATTAAATGGATCTTTTGGTTATGTTCTCCTTTTATGGGCTTAATTTACCTTTGTAAATTCTTAAAAGCTGGCCTATAAAAAGCTGAAGATATTAGGGTTTTTTTCTTTTTTCTGATTGAAACAGCTAAAAAGTGAAGTAACACAAACCCAGAATATGCTATGATGAACAATAGAATTTCAACTCTGTTTCTTTGTTTCTTCATTTTCACTATTATATAAAGAAGGTTGATCATATTCAGAGCAGTACCCCAAACACAGTGTTAGTCCTCAAAGACTATGTGGCCAGAAAGATTATCAACAAATGGTTAAAGGGTAGTTGTCTTGTGGTCCTGGATTATTTGGATCACTCTTTGTTTAATTCTGTTACCTTTGTATAATTTATTAATACCATTTCCTTTCACTCAACATGGTTATCAGTTTGAAAGATGAATCACATGGTCATCTTAGTTAAAGGGTTAGTCCATAACATTTGTTTAATTTGAAAACATTCTTTGATATATAGTGTAATTGAAGTTTTCCTGTTTAAATGATGAAGGTATATTTGTTTATGTACATAAAAGCTGGTATCACTGCATTGTGAATATACAAAACCAAATACATAATATTTATGGCATTTGTCAATTTTTATGTGTGGGTAGGGGATAACAGAAGAGGCAAAGTGTGAGACTAATTTACACTATAGATAAAGACCTTGGGGTCTGTCTGCTCTTACTCCCTGGCTGCCCCTGGCATGTTTTTCTCCAAAGCTCTCCTACTCAATTTTTTATTTAAGCTTTGGTGTTATAAATGGCCAAGACTTGTTTCTTTGGGTTCTTGAAGATATTAGACTTGCCTAGTTACCTCCCCTCTTTCTTGTCTTTCACAATAAGACTCTTTCATTTTTGGTATTTTCCTGCTAATCACTATGTGGAAATGAGTCAGGATGTTAGAGGAGTGAAAGTAACAAATATTGGGAATTTGCAGAATTTTCATAAATCTTTGAATGTTTTGAAAGCAACAGAACCAGATTTTTATTTCCTAAAGCCCTATCATAAATGACACCTTGTCTTACACAAGATCATCTCAGGAAGGTAACCTCTCTGAGATGGTTGTAGATGTATCTCAAAGGTTGTTTAAACCTTGTTTAGAGCCCTTTTGGGACTGTTACAACCCAAGTCTAGCACACCAGTATCTCTTCGCTACTATTCTCACCTTTCTCATTCTTGAACTCATATTCTGTGTAGTAATCAAAGGGATCTGTTTTTAAATGAATATCTGATTTTAGCCTTACCTTGTTAAAGCCTCTTACCTCATCTTCTACCACTTCTAGCATTTGTTCACATTAGTCCACTGACTTTCCTTATGATTCTCAGACATGACATGGTTTTTCCTATCTGTGGACTTTCTGTATTTGTATTCCTGGTATTTGTGTCGGATCACTTGACTCACTTATAGTTTAGAACCCTGAGAGGTCATTCCTAATGGCCAAAGTAACTATTTGAATTCTGTACCTAATGCTTACCATTATCTGGTATCTTTCCTGTTTGTTTGTTTACTTGTATTTTAGTCCTTAGACTATATGAAGCACGAGAGCCAGAGATTTTGTGGTACCTGGCATAGAGGAATTAATCGCTAAATATTGGCTGAATAAATGGTGGGCTTTCTTTTTGGAAAGCTGCTGCTTAATCTTTGCCTTCATGAAGGCCTTCTGCTTAGGACTTTAAAAATCCGTTTTTCATAGACATACCTGTTTTCTTTCTCTTAACAGAACTGTGAGAAACTGGGTGAGCTGCTGTTATGTGAGGCTCAGTGCTGTGGGGCTTTCCACCTGGAGTGCCTTGGATTAACTGAAATGCCAAGAGGAAAATTTATCTGCAATGAATGTCGCACAGGTGAAGTAGATATAGAAGGGTTTGCTTTCAGAAATGGTTTGAATTTTGAGTTTTTCAGGAAAAATTCCCAACATTTATTGGAGACAATTTTTTATGATACCGAGCTAATTGCTATAGACACAGATAGGTGCTGTGTGATCTTTGTAGAAAAGAATACCAAGTGAATAATGAATGGATAGTATAATATAGTGCAAAAATGATTGTAGTAGAGATGCTTTTAAAGTGATAATTGAACAAAGATGAGCCAGTTCCACAGAGGAAGAGAACTGAATTTGGCTTTAAAAGAGATACGGGGGATCCCTGGGTGGCGCAGCGGTTTGGCGCCTGCCTTTGGCCCAGGGCGCGATCCTGGAGACCCGGGATCGAATCCCACATCGGGCTCCCGGTGCATGGAGCCTGCTTCTGCCTGTGTGTCTCTCTCTCTGTGACTATCATAAATAAATAAAAATTTTTAAAAAAAATTAAAAAAATAAATAAATAAAAGAGATACGGATATTGGCATGGGGAGGGGAAGGACAGTAGGTCCAGTAATGAAAGTATAGAATATTTGGGGAATAGAAGGCATAGGTTAGTGTGTTTAGAGTTTAAGATGCTTTAGAGAAGAGGCATTGATAGTGACAAGGAGGATTTCTGGATTACTGGTGATGTTTTATATTTCTTAAGCTGAGTGGCAGTTACATAAGCCTGTTTTCTGTATGATTAAAAAAAATGAACTGTACACTTAGGATGCTGTACTTTTCTGTGCGTTTGTCATGCATCAATAAAACTGTTTACAGAAAAAATAAAAGAAAGAAAGAGAGCATTTTGAGAGTTAGAATAAATAGTTTGGGTCTGAAACTAAGAATGGTCAGGTGGAACCACCTGTAAAGTACCTCACAGGCTGTGCTAAGGAGATTGTTCTTTCTTCAGCATTATATGTGAATGTTATAGCATTTAAGTAGTAAGAAAAAATGGGGGCTGAAAGCTTATTACATTTCTAAGTCATTAAAACCATAAGTGTGAATGATCCTGCCCAAGTAGAAAGCATCTGTAGAATGAGAAGACGACCAAAAGTACTCAGGGGATGCCCACATCAGAAAACTACTGAGGGTGAGGAGGAGCTAGTTGACTGTGAATCCAGGGAGAGTGGGGTGTCATTAGCAGGGGCAGATGTGGCAAAGAGTCTAAGGACGTTCTGGGATGATAAGAGGCTGTCATATTTGGCAGTGAGAAAAGGCTTGACTTTCTGCCAGAGGATACCACACTAAACCTGGTTGAATGGCCAATGGATAATAGTATACACTTTTTACAGAAGTTTGATATCCATGGGAAAGAGGGCAGTAGCTGAAGGGGGGATATTACAGGATCAAGAGGAAGAACATCTTGTGCGTTTGTAGGATAAATGTTAAGAACCATGTAGGGAAATAAATTCCTCCAACAGAAGAGGGGATAATTAGTGGAGTACAGTTACAAAGACAGTAGAGAATAATCTTGAAGAGACAAAAAGATAAGATAGGAATGTACCTTGGAGTTGCGAGGCAAGATGAGGAAGCCAAAGTTTTTTCTTTAGTGAGAATGATGGAGGAAAGGTGGTTTCTAACTTGAAGAGTAAAGAGTATAGGTTTAGAGTATCTGCTGTGAGAACGAGACAGAATTAACTTGTGTTTGAAAATAAGTGGCTGTGTCATATTGAGTTTTTATCTCCTCTTTCAGCCACTACTTTTCACACTGTGGGAACAAACGCTGGAAGGCACGATAGTGGTGGGGTTAATTTTGCCTCCTGCGCAGTGGCCTTTTGATCATCATGGGAAATAGTGCCATCTGGCCCTACAAATGAAATTTAGAAAAAAATTTTTAGATATGTGTATATCTCTTATCCTGATCTTAGAAAGATCTTGCCTTTTATGCAGAAATCCAATTTTGCTAATCTTTATTATAATGTGATTTTCTATGAACAAATTAAGGCAAAGACATTTAAAAAAATTAACCTTACTGAAGTATAATTTACTATAAAATGCACTAGTTTTAATGTATGTTTTGATTGGCTTTGCTAGAATTTATATACACCGATTAACCACAACTACAATGAAGATTTAGACCATTTCCATCACTCTAGAAAGTTCCCTTGTACTTAGTCCCAGTTGATCCTTATGCCCTTCACTCCACCCCAGTTTTTTCAGGTAAACAACGATCTGCTTTCTGCTACTACACATTAGATTTGTCTTTTTGAAGAGTTTCATATGAGTGGAACAAAATGTATGTAGTTTTTTGTGCCTGGCTCAGCTTAATGTTTTTGACACCTGTCTATGTTGTGTGTGTATCCGTGTTCATTCTGTTTCTTAAAACAGGTTTATTGAGGTATAGTTGATGTACGATAAATTGTACCAAGGGTAGTTTGCTAAATCCTTACATATTTGTTACATATACCTGTGAAGCCATACCTCAGCATAGCCAGTTTGAGATTCAACAACATTTTCGCAGGTTATAGTTACAGCTGAACTGTTATTTGTTATAGCTATAGCTGAAGACCAGAGAATTCAGCTGTAACAATCAGAGTTCTTTCCTTTTTATTGCTAGGTAGTATTCCATTGTACAGATGCTTCACAGTTGGATTATTCATTCATCTATTGATGTACATTTGAGATGTTCTCAGGTTGGGGTATTATTAATAAAGCCACTGTGAACGTTCAAGTCTTGGTATGGACACGTTTTCTTTTTACTTGTGTTAAATTAAGTATCTAAGGTTGGAATGGCAAGATAGGTATATGTTTAACTTTTTAAGAAACATCCAAAGTGTTTATACCATTTTACATTCTCATTAGTAATGTGTGAGGGTTTCAGTTCTTCCACATCTTCATCAACACTTGATGTTGTCAATCTTTTAAATTTTAGCCATTTGGACAGATGCATAGTGGTATCTGATTGTGGTTTTAATGTGCATTTCTTTTTTTTTTTTTTTTAAGATTTTATTTATTTATTCATAGAGGCACACACACAGAGAGAGAGAGAGAGAGAGAGAGAGAGAGAGGCAGAGACATAGGCAGAGGGAGAAGCAGGCTCCATGCAGGGAGCCCGATGTGGGACTCGATCCCAGGTCTCCAGGACCACACCCCAGGCTGCAGGAGGCGCTAAACCACTGCGCCACCAGGGCTGCCCTTAATGTGCATTTCTTAATGACAGATGATATTGTGCATCCTTTTTAAAAAAAAAAAAAAGATTTTATTTATTTATTCATTGGATACAGAGAGGCAGAGACACAGGCAGAGGGAAGAGAAGCAGGCTCCATGCAGGGAGCCCGATGTGGGACTTGTCACGCCCTGAGCCAAAGGCAGAGACTCAACCACTGAGCCACCCAGGCATCCCAGATACTGTGCATCTTTTTAATGTGCTTTTTTGCTGTCATCTTTGATAAAATATCTGCTCACATCTTATTTTGTTTGCTTGTTTATTTTATTACTTTTGAGTTATAAGAGCTCATTATACATATCCTGGATACAAGTTCCTTATTAGATCCATACTTTAAAAATTATTCTGCCAATCTGTGGATTGGTTTTTATTTTCTTAATCGTGTATTTTGAAGAGCAGTTTTTAAAATTGTAATGAAGTTTAATTGTAATGAACAGTTCATCAGGTTTTTTTTAGAGCTTTTTGTTTTGGTGTCATTGGAGAAATCTTGTATAACCCAATGTCATAAAGCTTTTTTTTCTTTCTAATGAAAATTTTATTGTTTGCTTCACTCTTATGTCTAAGGTCTATTTTTGAATTAATTTTTATATATGATGTGAGATAAAGAGTTGTTATTTTTGAGGGTAGGAAATTTTACCCTAGTTTTTGTCAAGTTTTGAATTGAGTAAGAATAAGGGAGTCTTTTCTTTTTTAAAGATTAAATTTATTTATACATGAAAGAGGCAGAGACATGGGCAGAGGGAGAAGCAGGCCCCGTGCAGGGAGCCACATGCAGAACTCAATCTCGGGATTCCAGGATCATGCCCTGAGCCGAAGGCAGACGCTCAACCACTGAGCCACCCAGGCATCCCAAGGGAATAATTTCTTAATGTTTGCAGCTCACCCTATTTTCCTAATGTGGAGTGACCACACTATAATTTAGGTTATTCCAGCTTAATATTGGCATCAGATAGTAAGTAGTTTGCTTGTTTCCAAATGCATAATTAAGAATTTGTCCTAAAATCGTTATTAGCTGAGTGATCTTACTGTTTATAGGTTAAATGGGTTATTTTAATGATTTCCTATTTTCAGCAAGTGTCAGGCAAGATTTATGTTCAGGTCTGTGTCTCAAGCCTGGGCTCTTTCTCATACGTCATATTGCTCTCAGAGAGAGGTAGTTGTTTGTTGTTTTTTTCCCTATTCTTAAACTCTATATTACCAAAATCCTCAGACATTTAAAAAAATAGAACAGTATAAAGAATTCTCATGTATTTATCATTTAGCCTTAGTAGTTACCAGTTTTCTGCCTCTGTTTACCTATATATTTCAAAAGTCCAACACAACTTAAAAATATATATTTAATGTGTAGCAGAATTATACAGTAACTTCCATGTGTCACCTACTGCCCCTTCCCGTTATCAGATTTTCCCATTTGTCTCAAAGATGTCCTTTTCAGTATTTTAATCAAGATCCAAAAAAGTCTGTCTTTATTGTATTTTTTGATGTCTCTTAAATTTCTTTTAATCTGCAACGGTACACCCCATCCTATTTTTTGTTTAGACAGTGGTCATTTGTCCTGCTAAATTTTCCATATTGCAGATTTGGTTGATTGCATCTTTGAGGTGTCCTTTTAAGTTGTTCCTCTATCTTTCCTATTTCCTGGGAACTTGTAGCTAGATCTAGAGGCTGGATTAATATCAGGTCAGTTTTATTCTGGCAGGAATGTTTTATAGGTAATATGTACTTCCTGTTGTGTCATATCAGCAAAGCATGTATTGTCGAGAGTTTCTCACTTAATGATACTAAGATTTTTCAGTAGGTTCATGTTGTTGGCCTAATTAGTCTGTTAGAAAGTTCTTTAGTGTGATTTATATTAAGAAATGCATGTTTTGGTCTTTAGCTTGTGACACAGAACTCCCAAAACCTTGGCCTCTCCTAAGTGGTGACAATGATTAAAAAGATGTCCTTTGTGTATGTCTATGTGTATTTTAGTATGTTAATAAAAGACACACCTAAGATGGGAACTTGATTGCCAGGAGAATCAACCTTAAGATTAGAGGACTGGAGCTTTCAATCCTATGTCCCACTCATCTCTAGGGGGGAGATGGGGCTGGAGATTGAATCAATTCCCAGTGGCCTGTCATTTAATCAGCCATGCTTATGCAATGAAGTCTCCATCAAAACCCAGAAGGATGGGTTTTGGAGAGCTTCTGGTTTGGTGAACATGTGGAGATTCAGAATGAAGTGATAACCCTTGGAGAGGGCATCAAAGCTTCACACCCTTTGTTCATACTTTGCCCTATGCATCTCTTCCATCGAGCTATTCATGAGTTATAACCTTTCATGATAAACTGGGGATCCAGTAAGTAAAATGTTTGAGTTCTATGAGCCATTCTAGCAAATTAATCAACCCAAGAAAATAGGGGTTGAGGGAACCTCTGATTTGTAGCCAGTGAGAAGTATAGATGACAGTCTGGACTTGAGACTGGCTGGCATCTGAAGTTGGTGGCCAGGGGCAGTCTTAGAGAGTTGAGTCCTTAACCTGTGGGATATGATGTTACCTTCAGGTATATAGTTTTATTTATTTATTTATTTATTCATTCATTCATTCATTCATTCATTCATTCATTATTTTTTTATTTTTGTAGGGATTTTATTTATTCATTCATGAGAGACACAGAGAGAGGCACAGACACAGGCAGAGGGAGAAGCAGGCTCCATGCAGGGAACCTGACGTGGGATTCGATCCCAGGTCTCCAGGATCTCGCCCTGTGCTGAAGACGGCACTAAACCGCTGAGCCAGCCGGGCTGCCCCCAGATATATAGTTTTAGAATTGAGTTGAATTGTAAGACCCTCAGCTGGTGGAGAATTACTTGGTACGAAGCCCCCAAACCCCACTCCATATAGGAGTGTTGTGCAGAATTGTATGCTCACAAACTTTTTCGTCTAATGGTTTTGCATTGGTTGAATTCTTGAATTTGCATGAATTTATTACCTTCTTTTTGTTTCCCAGGAATCCATACCTGTTTTGTTTGTAAGCAGAGTGGGGAAGATGTTAAAAGGTGCCTTTTGCCCTTGTGTGGAAAGTTTTATCATGAAGAGTGTGTCCAGAAGTATCCACCCACTGTCATGCAGAACAAGGGCTTCCGGTGCTCCCTCCACATCTGTATAACCTGCCATGCTGCTAATCCAGCCAGTGTTTCTGCATCTAAAGGTAGGGGTTTCTCACATGGACTGACCTAATTGTAGAACCTTGCATTCATTGGCAGTGTGATTTCCAGATGCAATGTGGCATGTCTCTTCATGTCCTCTCTAGCTTTTGTCAGAGTATCAGCATTTTATGCGAGAGAAAAAAAAAATGATGGACTAGTCCAGTAGTTCTCATGTTGTATTCTATGGAGTCCTATTGTTACATGGTGGTTTCAAATATTTGGATTTCATGTGATACTTAGTTTGAGAAAGTGTTCTGCTGTATGTGTTCTTTTCCCTTCTCCATTAGACCAAAGTGTATTCTTTACCTGTGGACCCCTTATGTCCATGGTTGTCAGATGTGATATTACTCAGAGATGAATTTAGGGCAGAATTAAGGTTTTTGTTTTGTGTTGATTTTTTTTGTTTGTTTGCTTTTTAAATTGGAAACTTGTATCCTGAAACCTTTTTTCTGCTTTATAGTTAGGTTGAGAACTAAGGTTTCCAAAACTGACTGTGGATATATAGATAAAGTCAAGTTTTCAAGTCTATTCTCATTGGGAAAACAATCACTTAATTCTGTTCAGTGATAATGGGATCTCTTACTAATTTTCCTAAACCCAATACTGTGTTTCTACTGTTAAATGCTTGTGTGCTCAAAGAGCCCCTACTTCTCCCATAGGGGATTGAGCAGGAAAAATTTGCCAGACTTTTCTTCTAATTAGACTGGCAGTAACCTTTTATATGATTTCCTGAGCCTATAGATTTCATCACTTACGGACAATAATTTCACTTGCTTGATCAAAATTACAGTTTAACCATCAGTTTATCTTCCCCTTTTCAGTTACTATTGTGGATTGCATTTAGCTGGTTTAATAATGGCTTTTAGTTGGTGATATATGTTAGAGGACATATTTTATCTTAAAGAGGGTGGAAAGATTCATTCACCTAAAAGTTCAGGCTTTAAGAATCACACAGTACCAGGCAATGAAAACAAGCATTAGTCTTTCTCCCAGCTGCACATCTCCCCTATTTAGTTTGAGGCTAATCCAAGGTTTCCTAGGAGTCCGGGCAGTGGATTGAATAGGGCTTTCCTTGGTGAGGCAGGCTCACTTAACAGTTGTAGGATCTGACTCCTTGTGGCAACTTAATGCATAGCTCCCATCTGAACTTTTCATAGTGAATTGTGTGTTTTATGATCCCTGTCCTAGTAGTGCTGCTATTAGTGACATTTTCTTACTGACAGAGATTTCAGTAACTCATGTCGTTTTTATATTCAATCTCTTTGTTTTTCTTTTGCTCTTCTGGTTTTTCTGTTTCTCATAATTTTAGGTCGCCTGATGCGCTGTGTCCGCTGCCCTGTGGCATACCATGCCAATGACTTTTGCCTGGCTGCTGGGTCCAAGATTCTAGCATCTAATAGTATCATCTGCCCTAATCACTTTACACCTAGGCGGGGCTGCCGAAACCATGAGCATGTTAATGTTAGCTGGTGTTTTGTATGCTCAGAAGGTAAGATATGACTGCTTAGTGTATGAATGGTCTAAAGAGAGATTAATACAATATTCTAATTGCAACAAAAATTATTTTCTTCACATTACCACTAGAGAAATATTGGGAAGTAATGTCCTGAATTAATGACAACATAGCAGAACATTTAAACTTGTTGTTTTCCCCAGTAGGGAAAGCTTTTATTTTTTTATTTTGAATAATGACCTTATTTTTCTTAAAATGACAACAAATGAGGGGTACCTGGATTGCGCAGTAGGTTGAGCATCTGACTCTTGGTATGTATGTATGTATGTATGTATTTATAAATTTTGTTTCAAAGATTTTATTTTATTTTATTTATTCATGAGAGACACACACAGAGAGAGAGGCAGAGATGCTACACAGGCAGAGGGAGAAGCAGGCTCCATGCAGGGAGTCCGATGTGGAACTTGATCCTGGGACTCCAGGATCACACCCTGGGCTGAAGACAGGTGCTAAACCGCTGAGCCACCCAGGGATCCCCTGACTCTTGGTTTTAGCTCAGGTCATGATCATAGGGTTGTGGCATTGAGCACAGTCTGCTTGAGCTGTTCTCTCTCTGTGCCCATTCTTCCTCCCCTGCTCCTGCATGCATGCCTATGCACGCTCTCTCTCTCGCTCAAATAAATAAATAGATGTTGAAAAAAATAAATGATAACAAATGAAACAAGAAAAAGACAAAGGAAAGGAAATAAAATCACCCTTGGAAAATGGAATTTGATCAAACAGTACAAACATCTAGTTAGAAGATGGGTAGGTTTGGGGGACTTCATGTACAGCATGGTAACTATAGTTAACAATACTGTATTGTATATTTGCAAGCTGCTAAAGAGTAGATCTTAAAAATTCTCACTACCACCAGAAAGAAAAAAATTACAACCATGTGAGATGTTAGTTGTGTTTCCTAACCTTATTTTGGCAGTCATTTCACAGTGTGTACATATATCTAGTCATCCTGTTGTAATTTTAACCTTCTACAATGTTCTATGTCAGTTATATCTCAATAAAGCTGGGGAAAAAAGGAAAAGTAAATTGGAGGTAAATAATAATACTAATAAATAAATAATCCCAAATTGTCCCACCTGCCATCAGAAAAGAATATTGCCTAATTTTAAGTGATACTACCTAAGACATTTGCACATGTACCCAGAAAGCAGGGGTAGATAGCTACATAGAAACAATTCTAGAAGATGAGATTATATCATACAGTTGGTTTCTTTTTTGTTAAATCATTTAATTATTAATTTAAAGGGAAGAAAGAAAGGGAAAGTGAAGGAATTTATTATGAATGTCTGTCAAATGTTTCTTCACCATAGGGATATTAATTCCTAAAAGTTCTTCTAAAGTGGAGGAAAAATAAATTTTTTATCTTTTTTTTTCCTTCAACTTAAAACGTACTTCTCCTGTAGAATGGTCAGTGTTAGGCTTCTTAAATACATTTACTTTCCATTCTTGACAGCCTGATTTTTACTAGTGAATGATTAGTAACCATCACTAGTCTGTTTACTCTGGTGCTTTTGTAGTTCTGATTTCCTTATTTTAATTTTTCTCATCCTAGAGGCTGAACCTCTAGGAAGCACCCCTTGGAAGTATAATTCCCTGCTTGAGGCTATTTGTCATTTGCCTCTATACTAGAAGCATATGTTGGGTTAGCACAAATGTTTAGGCTACAAGTTCTTTTTTCTTAGACTGTTGTGGACATTACTTCACTATTTTTTGTTTATTTGAGGGTAGGGGGAGAGAGAGCATGTGTGCCAGCGGAGGAGAGCGGTAGAGGGAGAAGGAGAGAGAATCCTAAACTCCACATCCAGCTTGAGCCCAACACAGGGCTTGATCTCATGACCCTAAGATCATGAGTTTGGCTGAAATTGAGTCCTGCTTCACCGCCTGAACCACCCAGGCGCCTCCTGGGGAATTACTTGAAAAGTCGAAATGTGTAATTGAATGACCATGCTTTTTGAGAAATTTGGATATGCTAAATAGTGCTAAAGCCAAAAAAGGCTTTTTGGCTGCTTTATGTGATTGAAAATGAATGGTACATGACAATTTAAGGAAAAGTTACGCTTAACTGAATGGAGTTTGCACCAGGACATTGTTTGTATCCTCAAACTATGCTGCTAATATAAAAAATAAATAAAAAGAATGTTAAATGCAATAGTGTGAATAGAAAGGGAACTTTTGGTAGAGATGTTTAATTCACCAGTGGACATTCTTTTCGTTCTATAATACCTACTCCTTACTTATAACACTGTCTTGTGGTAAACACTGCTGCCTATTTGTGGTATCACCCTTCTTTTCTTTAGAAGAAAGTTAAAGATAAGAGTTTGGTATTTAATAGCATTTAAATATAACTTTCTAGGGCAGCCCTAGTGGCGCAGTGGTTTAGCGCCACCTGCGGCCTGGGGTGTGATCCTGGAGACCCGGGATCAAGTCCCATGTCAGGCTCCCAGCATGGAGCCTGCTTCTTCCTTTGCCTGTGTCTCTGCCCCCCGCACCCCCCCCCCCCCATCTATCATGAATTATCATGAATGAATAAATAAATAAATCTTAAAAAAAAACTATTATGCCAGCCTTAGACTAAAAACAGGTTTCTGGGAAACTGAAGTGTAGCTCCCAAATTTTTTTTCATTTCTTGGGAGATGGGATGATAACACAGTTTCAGCATCAGACCATTTCTTTCTTTCTTTTTTTTTTTTTTTAAGGAGAGAGAGAGGGAGAGAAAAAACGTTATGAAGGTTCCATGCCCAGCGTAGAACCTGACCTGGGGCTCAATCTCACAACCCTGAGCCGAAATCCAGAGTCAGACACTTAACCGACTTAGACAACCAGGTACCCCAGCACTAGACCATTTCTAATTCTATAGTGGGATGAAATGAATGACATGGTTTAGAGTGAGGGTGCCCATGTTATAGCATTCCTGACATGGAGCATCCTAACTGAACAGCTATCGAGTCCAATAATGGATACTCATAATGATAACTAAGTCCCCTAGAAAACTTAATAGCTGTAGCAGTGGCCCTCAAAGTGTGATCCATGATCCTTGTAAAGGGGTGAGGACCCAGAGACCCTTTTAGGGGCTTCCATGAAGTTGTAACTCTTTTCATAATAATAATAATATTATTTGCCTTTTATAGTTTGTTGACATTTCACTGATCGTTCAAAACCAGCTGTGGGTAAAAACTCCTGGCACCTAATACATATCAAGGCAGTGGCTCTAAACCCTACAAGTAGAATCATTGATTGTATTCTGTGTCACCACACACTCTTCAGTTAAAAAAAAAAAAAGTTTCACATAAGAATGTCCTTGAATAAAATTTGATTTTATTAAATATCAGCTCTCAGGTGAACATTGTTTTAACAGAATAATGATAAAATAGAAAGTACACATGTAAGTGATTCTGTTTCATACTGATAGTTATCTTAAGTAAAGCACTCGTGTAGTTGAGTGGCACCTGGGTGGCACTGTCAGTTGAGCGTCCAACTCTGAGTTTCAGCTCAGGTTGTGATCTCAGGGTTGTGAGATTGAGCCCTTGTGTCTGGCTCCCCACTTGATGGGGACTCTGCTTAGGATTTTCTCTCTCCCCTCTCCCTTTGCCCCCACCTCAGGCTATCAGCTCAGCAGAGCTTCTCCATCTTCCTCTGAGCCTCCCCCTCATTTGTGCGCACACGCTCTCTCTTTCTCTCTCAAGTAAATAAATCATTAAAAAATAAAATATTTGCAAAAATGTAAAACACTGAGTTAACAGTTTTTTATTTTGGAAGATATAGTTATTTTTTACAAAAATGTTATATAATAGATTTACAGTTATTTTTAAGTGAATTAATAAATATATATTTTTAAAAAGATTTTATTTATTTATTCATAGAGAGAGAGGCAGAGACACAGGCAGAGGGAGAAGCAGGCTCCAATGCAGGGAGCCCGATGGTGGGACTCGATCCTGGGTCTCCAGGATCACGCCCCAGGCTGAAGGCGGCGCTAAACCACTGAACCACCGGTGCTGCCCGAATTAATAAATATTTTCGATTTTTCTTAGTTTTGGTTTCTCATTAGTAAGTTCAATATTTTTAGCCTACATAAACAACATTTCTTTGGGAATGTCCAGGATACTCTTTAAGAGTATAAAATTGTCCTGAGTCCAGAAAGCCGGAGACCTGCTTTCCCACTAAGATTATCCTGCTATTAGACAACAGAGAAAAAGTAGGGCCTTAGGACATTTTTGCCCATGTATAAGAGAAAGCTGAAGGTGATCATCCAGAGTAGGATAATAATACGGTAAGTTGCTAAATTGAAAGGAACCAGTTCCTGGAATTCAGCAATATTTTTAAAATTTATTTTCTCTTGGGGCACTTGGGTGGCTCAATTGGTCAAGCATCTGCTTGTCATGATCTCAGGGTCCTGTAATTCAGCCCTGTGTCTGGCCTCCCTGCTAAGCAGGTAGTCTGCTACTCCCCCTCCCTTTGCCCTTTGCTCCACTCATGCTCTCTCTCTAAAATAAATAAAATGTTTAAAAAGAATTTATTTTCCTTTACCTCTCCCACAAAATATCAACTTTTTCCTCTTTTTTTTTTGTTTTGTTTTTGTTTTTTTAAAGATTTTATTTTATTTATTCATAGAGACAGAGAGAGGCAGAGACACAGGCAGAGGGAGAAGCAGGCACCACACAGAGAGCCTGATGTGGGACTCGATCCCGGGTCTCCAGGATCACGCCCTGGGCTGCAGGCAGCGCTAAACCGCTGCACCACTGGGACTGCCCACTTTTTCCTCTTTTGGTTTCTTTTGATGGTTCATGTTGTTTTCCCTCTTCTGTCTTACTTGTCTTTCTCCTATACTTTCTCCTTTACTGCCACCAGATAAAGTCTCCTGCCTATTTCCCATCCATTTACCCACATTAATCATGTTGTTTTCTTTTCTCATATTTCAACTCATAATCACATTATGTTCTTCCCTACAAAACTGTTTGCCACTATTTCCCCTCAGCTCTGTCCATAGCCTTTCTTCAATGAGTATTCTTATGTGCAGATGTCTTTTTTTTTTTTTTAAGATTTTATTTATTTGTTCATGAGAGACATGGAGAGAGGGGCAGAGGCTCCATGGGGAGCCTGGTGTGGGACTTGATCCCAGGATCCTGGAATCATGGCCTGAGCCAAAGGCAAACGCTCAACTGAGCCACCCAGGTGCTGCCCCTATGTGCAGATTTCTTTTTATTCTGTATAACCTCCTTTTAAGGTCTAGTGCAAAGGGCTTATTGTAAATGAAATATTTCTATTCTGTTACAAAAGCCTGCTTATTAGTAAAAAGAAGATTTTTCTACCAAGTTCATGTGATTGGCAAATCACACAGTTAATGAGATTGTGACTCAGCAGATAACTAAGCATAAATAGGAATGTTCTAGAAGGTATGTCATTGAGGCAGGTAAGTTATGTGACTCTGCATCACTCTTAATGTCCCATGCTAAGATTGTTTGACTTATCCTACAGAATACACAAGAATAGCTAAATAGGAGTTTCAGAGTATAGAATACAGGCTATATGTATTGAGTAAGCAGGTTCATCAAACTTTTTTTTTTTAAGATTTTATTAATTTATTCATGAGAGACACACAGAAAGAGAGGCAGCGACAGGCAAAGGGAGAAGCAGGCTCCCTGAAGGGAGCCTGACGTGGGACTCTATCCTGAGTTCCCAAGATCACGCCCTGGGCTGAAGGCAGCGCTAAACCACTGAGCCACCTAGGCTGCCCCAAACTTTTTTTTTTTTTTTTTAAGATTTTATTTATTTGAGAGAGGGAGAGAACATGAGTGGACGGGCAAGGGTCAGAGAGAGATCGAGAAGCAAACTCCCTACTTAGCAAGGAACAGGAGACTCAGAGTTCGATCCCAGGTCCCTGGGATCATGATCCTCGATGAAGGTAGATGCTCAACCAACTGAGCCACCCAGGCACTCTTCAAACTTGTTTTGTAGCAACAGACTTTTTCCAAGTGAAGTATCCCTGAATTCAGCGTCAGTATCCAACAGATAAAAGGAGAGCTTCTCTAATTGAAAAGCAGTTGGGTCTTAAGTACACAGTTCTGACTTCAAGAAAATAAACCTCTCAAAGCTTGTTTTAAGAGCTTGCTGCAAATGATTGAGAAAAGGAAAAAGTCAGGATGAGTAGAAATTGTATAAAGATGATGTCACAAAGTTCAGTTTTTTTGTGGGATATTACGAGTCAAAAAGGGCACAGTGAAATCCAGATGGATGAGGACATATACTTTGCTAAGGTCTTATCCCCCAGTAACTCTTCAGGATAAGACTTGGAGTTACATGCTTGAGTCTAGCATGTTTGAAGCATGCTTATTTCTTACATAAGATAATAGGGTATTATATTCCTTAAGTATGAATTCTCTTCATCTAAAAATTTTTATAGTCTGCAACCATGAGGATTTCAGCTTCAGATATATAAATTGAATCACTTTGAAAATCTTTAGGAAGTGAAAATTCTTTTTTTTTTTTTTTTAGGAAGTGAAAATTCATTGTCATTGCAATATATGTAATTATCTTGGTGTCTGAAAACCTCAGTGGAGAGGGGAGAACATTTATTTAACTGAAGTTTAGGCAACAAATCACATTAGTACCTGTGAATTTTGTCACCAGTGAAAATCACAGATGTTTCAGTTGTAAATACTTTAAAACATTTTGAGGGCAGCGTGGTAGCTCAGCGGTTTAGCACCTCCTGCCGCCTGGGGTGTTGATCCTGGAGACCTGGGATCGAGTCCCATGTCAGGCTCCCTGCATGGAGTCTGCTTCTCTTTCTGCCTGTGTTTCTGCCTCTCTGTCTCTCTTTCTCTCTCTCTCTCTCTGTCTCTCATGAATAAGTAAATAAGATCTTTAAAAAAAAAAGTAAAACATTTTGAGATCATTGTTTCTGCTAGATCTTGTTATTTTTGTAATACAAAGAAACAAACAACTCTAATTTCCTGTTCTATTCTTTTGATAATTATATGTTAATATAACAGCATCCTTTTAATCTGGATTTATAAATGTTACGCTGATACTTAAGTATAAGTGTCAGATATTATTCAGGCCATTTAATCACTTGTTTAGTCTTCAAATGTGGTTATATTTACTGTTTGTTGTGGAAAATTTAGCTTTTTTTTAAGTGAAGAGAAAGAAAGAAATGTGTATATGCACATACTTGACTTTATTAAGAGGTTGACTTCTGATCTCACTGCCCTAACCTAATTTTGCCAATAAGATCTCATATTTATTTGCTGTAAATCTAACAAACCCTCAAGTTGTGTTTCACAGGATCATTGGAAAGAGAATAGTGCTCTTACAGAAAAGTGTTTCTGAATTAATTAAGTTACCACACCCTTGGCTGGGACATAAATAATTGGTTAGGAGCAAAAGCTGTTTCAGCTGGGTCATTATTTGTAGCCTTGTGATTCTGAGTTCCAGATTCTTTGATTCCCACAGGAGGCAGCCTTCTATGCTGTGATTCTTGCCCTGCTGCTTTTCATCGTGAATGCCTGAACATTGATATCCCTGAAGGAAACTGGTATTGCAATGATTGTAAGGCAGGCAAAAAGCCGCATTACAGGGAAATTGTTTGGGTAAAAGTTGGACGATACAGGTGAGTGAGCATGAAGGAGATTGGCACTGATTTCTTTTACCATCTCATCCTCTGTTTCTTAGGATCTCAGATACAGTGCTTAACTCTTTTCTATTTTTTTGTTAATAGTTTATCCAGTTAAGTAAGGTCCTCCATTAATTTTTCACTGTAAAAGAAAAAAAACTCATTTTTATGTTTTGTGATTAAAGGAATAATATATATTCTCTGTAGAAAATTCATGAATGAAAACAAACCCATAACAAGGAAGATAGGTTGCTAAATTTTGGCATATGTATTTGGAGACACACAATGTCACACACCCTCCAAATAATTGGCCTTGGAGTTTATACTCAGTTTTGTGTCTTTTCCTTTTTGAAATTATTTTTATTGACTATGGAACATATAAAAGAATATCGTAAGATGCATGATTTAAAAGAATCAGAAAGGACTATCTATGTATGTACTTCTCATTTAAAGAAGTAGCCTGTTGCTGGTACTTTTCAGGCTCCCTCCCTGAACCTCACTGAGTCCATTCTCTTCTCACCCCTAGAGATAACCACTATACTACATTTTGTGTTTTTTAATCCTTTGCCTTGCTGTAATGGTTTACCACATGTATAATATTTTGTTCTGTGTGTTTTAGATCTCTTCATAAAGAAATTGTTGCTATATTTTCTTGCAATTTGCTTTTTTCATTTACTGTTATGCTGCTGAAATTTATAGTAGTTAGTGCAATGCTCTAGTTCATACTTTGCTGTTTTACATTTCTTTATATAGCCTTACAATATAGTGTGATTCATTTATCCTTTCTTCTCTTTGAATTATAAGCATTTTGTCAATGATCCTTAGTATGCATGCACAGGGCAGCCCTGGTGGCGCAGTGGTTTAGCGCCACCTGCAGCCTAGGGTGTGATCCTGGAGACCCTGGATCGAGTCCCACGTCAGGCTCTCTGCATGGTGCCTGCTTCTCCCTCTGCCTGTCTCTGACTCTCTCTCTCTGTGTCTCTATGAATAAATAAATAAATAATCTTTTTTAAAAAAAAAGTATACATGCACAGTTTTTCTAGGAATAGGGGTTTCCATCTTAAATAGCTAATGCCAAATTGTCTTCCTACAGTGGATATGTAAAGCATTAATTTACATGCTTTTTATCTTATTTTGGGAGGCATTTCTAGTTGTCATTTTTCTATACCCCTCACGATTATTCAAAGTTTTCCTTTTTAAAGGCCAAAATGTATTTCAATGTATCATATACCATAGTTATTTTATCATTCCCTAAGTGTTGAACGTTTACATTATTTCCAGGTTTTCAATCTTTTTTTTTTTTTATTTTTTATTTATTTTTATTTTTATTTTTATTTTTTCAGGTTTTCATTCTTAAAGATAATACTTCAGTGAACATGATAGTCAAAGCTTTGTTTATATCTTCTATGAGATAATTGTTATTTATTGTTAAATTATAATTTCCTTTTATAGATTCCTTAAAGTAGAATAACTGAGTCTAAAAAGTGTATATGTGAGCACATCTGTGAGAGTGGGCATTTTCAGATTTTCAGCACATACTACTTATTTGTTCTCTAGTTATATTGTAAAAATGCACTAGTTTGGACTTTCATGTAGATAGATGTTGCTATTCCTTATTCCCGTCCTAAAAGATAGGTCATTTTCCTGGTGTTTTGCAGTCTTCTAAAGTCTCCTTGTTTTCACCTTTTCCAGGTGGTGGCCAGCTGAGATCTGCCATCCTCGAGCTGTACCTTCCAATATTGATAAGATGAGACATGATGTGGGCGAGTTCCCTGTGCTTTTCTTTGGATCTAATGACTATCTGTGGACGCATCAGGCCCGAGTCTTTCCCTATATGGAGGGGGATGTGAGCAGCAAGGATAAGATGGGCAAAGGAGTAGATGGGACATATAAAAAAGGTAACTTTTTGTTTCTCAAGCCAACACAGACATTTGTTGCCCTAGTACCTATTCTGTTATGTATTAGAATTCACATATATTCCATTAGCAGCTGTGTTGCACTCTCTGGGGCAGCTATAGGATTTTACAGGAAAGTTCATCCACATAATTCACTATTTTTGAGCCTAACCTTTATGGAACTGGATTTCCTTGGGAAGTTTTTGTTTTATCAGTTCTGTTTTCTCATCATCTCGTTAAGCACTGCAGCTTTGGAACTATTTTATAGCTTAAACCCTGTGGTTTACTAGACAAGAGTCAGAATCTTTGGTAGAATTGTGTTTGTTCCAGGGAAGTTACAGAGAAGTTATAGAGCAAAATTAAATAGTGAAAGTCAAAGCATAAATGTTCTGAATCAAAAGATTTTTTTTTAAGCACACCCAGCAGTGAAGGGGACATTTGGGGTAGGAGTTGAGTCAACTATGAGCCTTAGTTTTCTCTTACTATATAATTAGTAAAGGTTGCTCTGAGAATTCAGTGAGATAATAAAAAAAAATCAGAGCACATAGTTGGTATCCCATAGTGATAATTATCTTCTTCCTTTAGCTGTACTTTAAAAGATAGCATAGGTATTTCTTGTTAATTTGAATATATTTGGACGCTGAAGAATAGAAGGTTTTGTATGGTGAGGTGAAGATTCTAAGTACGTAAAACTTTCTCATAAGGTAAAGATTCTAAGAAAGGTCTAAGCAGGTGAAAATTCCTGGATGGGGAATGAGAATGATTACTATAGGGAACAAGTTTCAGAAAGGTTCCATTTGCCTCATGTCACTTCAGTGGGTCCTCACTTAGTTGTTGACCATGGGGTTTCTGTGTAGGTAGGGGCGATTAGTATTAACACTATAGGAGCTTGGCTTATAGTTTTATAGTCTTGGATGGTCAGGGAACAGTTGACCACCATCTTTTCCTATGTAGAGGTGGCCATCACAGAGGCTCAAGGGAGAAGAAGTTGTAGGGAATACCACAGATCTTCTGCTGAAGTTCTGGGATTCTGCTCTTTCTGTGCCTCAACTCTGGGCTAACTGCATGCCTCTGCCTTCAAGGAATGCATGGATGGGGGAATTGGACACAGACACAAGCAGTTCAAAATGCTATTCATTGAGTGTTGTGGCAGAACTGTGCATGCTATGGGAGCAGACCAAGAAGAAGCATAACTATGCTGGGAATCAAAGTTTGGAAGTCACAGATGTTTTTTTTGTTTTTTTTTCCAAGAAACTTTGAAGAGTGAACCATAATAATAATAGTTATTTGTTGTTTGTCAGGCCCTGTTCAGTTTGTCTTCTGCTTTAAGTCCTTATGGCAGCTATATAAGTTAGATGTGCTTGTCCTTATCTTACAAATGAGGAAATTGAGGCACATAAAAGTTAAATTACTTGTCCAAGATGCCAGTGCCAGTAAGTGATAGAGGAAGGTTTCAAACTCTAGTAGTCTGCCTCTAAAATCTAAACTCTCACCCCCATACTGACGGTGAAGAAGTTAACAAATGAAAATGTTGCTGACAAGAAGACAGCACATGTGAAAGCATACATTAAATCCAACATGTTGAGTGAGTGACCTCTAGCTATGTGGTATAGTTTAAGATGGGTTTGGGGGAACATAGGACTGTTAGCCAGAAAAGGTGGTAGGTAACTTACATGATCAGGGCAGAGTTTCTAGAAATCTTTGAATAGAGTTTTGGGACTGTAGAAGGTTAGAGGCTGCAGCCAGGGCTGTCTGTGAGATAGCTGTTTTTGAGAGTTCCAGGCAGTCACAGTGAAGTGTTCCTGGGGTAGAGAGGATGATGGGTACTTGAATAGACGTTATAGACTAGGCAGGACATGCTGAATAATAGAATGAAGAAAGAAGCGGTTACTGAAGAAAACTTAAGTTCAACATCTGCCTTTGGCTCAGGGTGTGATCCTGGAGTCCTGGGATTGAGTCCCCATCGGGCTCCCTGCAGGGAGCCTGCTTCTCCCTCTGCCTGTGTCTCTCTCTGCCTCTCTCTGTGTGTCTCTCATGAATAAATAAATAAAATCTTAAAAAAAAAAAAAAGAACTTCTCAAACTCAACACCCAAAGAATAAATAATCAATTAAGAAACGGGCAGAAGACATGAACATCACTTGGCATCAGAGAAATACAAAACCACAACGAGATACCACCTCACACCAGTCAGAATGGCTAAAATTGACAAGTCAGCAAATGACCTGTTGGTGAGGATGCAGATAAAGGGGAACACTCTTAACACTGCTGGCGAAATGCAAGCTAGTGGAACCACTCTGGAAAACAGTTTGAAGGTTCCTCATAAAGTAGAAAATGGAGCTACCCTATGACCCAGCAGTTGCACTACTAGGGATTTACCCCAAAGATACAAATGTAGTGATCCAAAAGGACACCTGAACCCCCTGTTTACAGCAGCACTGTTCACAGTAGCCAAATTATGGAAGGAGTTCAGATGTCCATCAACAGATAAATGAAGAGAATGTAGTATATGACATCCTGCCATTTGCAACAACATGGATAAGGTGAAGTCAGTAAGTGAAAGAAGTCAATCAGAGAAAGTAAATTATCGTATGATCTCACTCATAAATGGAATTTAAGAAACAAAACAGAATCATAGGGGAAGGGAAGGAAAATAAAAGAAGACAAAATTAGAGAGGAAGCCAAACCGTAAGAGACTATAAATCATTGGAACCAAACTGAGGGCCACTGGAGGGGAGTGGAGGGATGGGATAACTGGGTGATGGGCATGAAGGAGGGCACATGATGTAACGAGCCCTGGGTGTTATATGCAACTGATGAATCACTGACCTCTACCTTTGAAACTAATAATATACTATATGTTAATTAATTGAGTTTAAATTAAAAATATTGAACTTGTAAAAAAATGAATGAAATTGGGAATAGAAAAAAAAGAAAAGAAAAGAAAACTTAAGGACTCCAGGCAACATAAACTCTGCTAGATAGTTAACATGGAAATTCAGGAAAAAGGATGTTTTCTTTAAAGAATTGACAGAATATGAGGAAAGCTACAGAGAGGAAAGAGTTAAAAGAACTGGAGTTCTTTTCAGAGTTTTTAATCTGAGTTATAAAGAATAAATTTTTAAAAAGGAATGAAGTAAAATTTTGTTTTAAGTGGAAAAGAATGAGAATCTTAAGATTTTGTTGGAATTCTAAAATGTTACAAGTAATAAAAAATAAATAAAATGGTACCATTTTTAAGCATAAAACTGTATGGGACTTGAATACAAATCAGCTATGAAGATCTGTGTATTATTACAGCTAATAGTTGATATTAACAGATTGAATCTTAGGAGAGGAATAGGACGGATAGAGAATTAGGCAAGAAGGAAAAGAAAACTTCCAACTTTGAATTTTTTCCAGAGGAATGCAGCAAGTTACTTGGTACCTAGGAGACAGAATGTTTCTGGAGGCAGGAGGTTCAGAACTGAGGAAAGAATTAGGCTTAATTAAGGACAGTGACTTTGCTGAGCAAATGTAGTCTTGTTAGCAGATGTTATTTGTCGGCTTTTTCAAATGGTTTAGCTGGATTTGTTTTTGTTTTAAATTTTCCTCTGAAGGTGGTATGTAGTGCTAAATTATGTTTTGTCTTAATGCTATATCTAAATACCCTGGGGATTATAAATTAACTTGAAAATAGCAGTCCTATGTTCTTCTTAGTTTTCCATATAGTGCCGGCTGGTTTTTTAAAAGATTTTATTTTTTTGAGAGAGAGTGTGCACTAGCAAGGGGGAGGAGCAGAGGGAGAGGGCGAAGCCGACTCCTCGCTGAGCAGGGAGCCTGATGCAGGGCTTGATCTTAGGACTCCAAGATCATGACCAGAGCCAAAGGCAGATGTTTAACTGACTGAGCCACCCAGATGCCCCAGTACTGGCTGATTTTTGTCTAAAATATGGAACTTCTCCAACTTTAAAGGGAAAAAAAGACAATTCCACACAAGATTAAGTGACTTGTGCTGTGTGTTTTCTTAGCTCTTCAGGAAGCTGCAGCAAGGTTTGAAGAGTTAAAGGCCCAAAAAGAGCTCAGACAGCTGCAGGAAGACCGAAAGAATGACAAGAAACCTCCGCCTTACAAACATATAAAGGTGAGAAAAGATCACAGGAGACTGACTGTCTGTCTAGGAGAGACTGTGTTATAGAGTGCTGTCTTCCTGCTCTGTTCATGAAAAGGTTTGGAAGCACAAGCACAGTTGCTGTTAGATAGAGGTATGAACTTGAAAGAAGATGAGTAAAGGTTCCAAAGCACTTTCCTAGCCCATTGTCAGCACTTTACATAAAGTCAATTGTGTGTTGATAACTTTTTCTGTTGCCTTGGAAAGTCTTCTTTAGAAATGGGCTGGATTAGATTCTGTGCGCAGGCAACATCTTGCAGTTTGAAGGAGATTCAAGAACCGTGATAAAAAATGATAAATAGCTCTGAGATAATGTGAATAACATACATGGTAAGTCTTCATGGTAATGGCTGATACTAAAGATACTTTAGGTAACCAATATGATTAGGTTTCCCAAGGTCAGGAGAATTCCTGGTAGGTGTACCTAAGCCCTAATGTGTCTAATAAAAGAGTCATCACCATTTATCATCTGGGTCCAATGGACCCTTTGTTTTTTGTTTTTTTTTTTTTTAATGTTTTAAGTCATTTTTATAAATAATTTACAGATGTAAAAATACGGAAATAATGAACAAATTTATTAGACATTTTAGTAAGTACTTACTAAAACCTCTTTAAAAACCTTTTTTGAAGTTGTAATGTTCAAACATCAGAAAACATGAAAGAATACTATTAGATCTATTAGCAAAATGAGACTGCCTGCGTTATTATATAGTATTTGTAATGATGTCATTCCTGAATAAGAATACTGTATTTCTTCCTCTAATAGAAAGTCATTATGAGTTTCTGAAATCTTAGAACCTGAGTTTTCACATAGAAATCAATTTCACCACCACCTTTAGAATCTAATGTGGTCAAATACATCCCAAGTAGTCCATGGGACATACTTAAACTAAAAAACTTTTTTAAAAAAAAATCTGAAATTCGGATTTAGTCAGGTGTCCTGGAGTTTTATTTGCTCAACAGAACGACCCTACTAAAAGCAGACTACAACCGTACAAAAGCACACTACAAAATTTTTTTACTTTCTGGAAAGATGATTTAATACTTTGGGCAGTGCAATATGGAAACTAAAGTGTGGCTGTTTCACTGTTGCATGCATTAGCTTTTGTGATTGCATCATTTTTCTGTTCTCTTGTTAGTTTAGTCTTTTTTGGCATAGGTAGGAATCACTGAGTAAATAGGAGTAACCATGAAACAGTAAAATGTTATGAGATACAGGAAATTGATAACACTAAACTTCCATAATATAGCTTAGATTTTTCAAAGGGTTTAATGGATGTACATGGTAGTTGCAGAATAGAATGGGAGGGTTTTTAATTTTTTTTTCCTTTTTTAAAAAAATAAGTTTTCTTTTTGATCTTTAGAAGACCTCTAAGAAAGAGCATGGAGTCCTCAAAAAGGAGAAAGTAATCTCATTCCCACAGTCAGAGATGTCAGATAACAGCAAGGGAGGCATTTCAGAGTAGCACGTCAAGCATAGTGAGCTCTTAAGAAAGCAGCTTCCTGGGAAGGAGTGATCTAAATCACAGAATTTAGAAGCCAGCTTTTTTGCTCCATAACCCTTCCCCACCTCTTTCAAAACAAATACATTTCGTAGAAAAAATTTTATTTTATTTTTTAACTTATTTATTCATGAAAGACACAAAGAGAGAAAGGCAGAGACATAGGCAGAGGGAGAAGCAGGCTCCAGGCCAGAGAGCCCGATGTGGGACTCGATCCTGACACAGTGGATCACGCCCTGAGCCAGGGGCAGGCGCTCAACCGCTGAACCACCCAGGCGTCCCAAGAAAAAATTTTAGAAGGATTGGCAAACTCTACAGTCCATGGGCCAGATCTGGCTTACTATGGTTGGGGGGATAAAAGAATGAAAATAATATTTCCAGGGACATGAAGATTATATGAAATCCAAATATCAGTGTCCATAAATGAAGTTTTATTGATATTTATCTATGCTTATTTAGAAATTGTCTTTTGGAAGAAAAAAAAAATAAATTGTCTTTTGCTTCTTTTATGCTACATGCACCAGAAATCTATAGCCTGCAGAGCCCAAACTATTTCCTGTCTGACCTTTTACAAGAAAAGTTTGTCAATCCCTGATGTAGAGTGAGCATTTAACTGTACTTACTTACCTATCTGTATTGTTCTTAACCGTGTGTTTTTTGTTTTTGCTTATATTTTATGTTAGCCAAGAAAGTTAACTTGGAATTACTAACAAGTTAGATTAATATCTGAATTCGAAAAATGAAACATACCTTTATAGAGAGAAAAGGAGTAGGATGAAACTTTTGTGGGAGGGAGGGCAGGTAAGGATGCTTTGTTGTTTTGTTTTGTTTTGTTTTGTTTTGTTTTGTTTGTTTTGTTTTGTTTTGTTTTTAAAGAATTTATTCTTGAGAGACAGAGACAGAGAGAGAGGCAGGCAGAGGAAGAAGCAGGCTCCATGCAGGGAGCCTAATGTGGGACTCGATCCCTGGTCTCCAGGATCAGGCCCTGGACTGAAGGTGGCGCTAAACCGCTGAGCCACCCAGGCTGCCCAAACAAGGTCAGCGAGCCAGCCAGGAGATACTTTGAAACAGAGATGTATGTTTTAATGCCTTATGTGTAGACCTGTAGTCTGAGATGATGGAGTCAGTCTTTACCTTCCGTCCCCTTTGCTTTCCTCAGGATTGTGACTTCCTTTTGCATGTGCTAATAAAAGTATTCCTCCATTAACAAGATTTTACAGTGGCTCAGTTGGTTAAGCGTCTGCCTTCAGCTTAGGTCATGATCCCAAGGTCCTGCGATCGAGTTCCTGTCGGGGTCCCTGCTCACGGGATGGGAGTCTGCTTCTCCCTCATCCTCAACCTACCTCCCCCCTGCTTTTGCACGCTCTATCTCCCAAATAAATAAATAAAATCTTTAAAAAAAAAGTTTATAAGGTTGGTTTTTAAAAAACTTATTTATTGGGGATCCCTGGGTGGCTCAGTGTTTCAGCGCCTGCCTTTGGCCCAGGGCGCGATCCTGGAGTCCCAGGATCGAGTCCCACGTTGGGCTCCTGGCATGGAGCCTGCGCCTCCCTCCTCCTGTGTCTCTTCCTCTCTCTCTCTCTCTATGTCTATCATAAATAATGAATAAATATTAAAAAAACTTATTTATTGAGGGAAAGAAAGAGCACCAGCAGGGGCAAGGGCAGAAGCAGTCTCCCCGCTGAGCAGGGAGCCCAGTGGGGCGCTTGTTCCAGGATTCATATCATGAGCTGAGCCAAAGGCAGACCCATAACCAATTGAGCCACCCAGGAGCCCCGAGAAATGCAGTTTTTGCCCGGATTTTGAAGTATCTGGGAAGAGATATGGCAGAGTTACATCCTTGTGTAAGGTATTATCAAGAACTGGTTTAAGGATACAATATAGTTCTGTAAACAGATTGGAGATTTTATAATACTGTTAAAGAAGAGGAACACCTGGGTGGCTCAGTCAGTTGGGCATCTGCCTTTTCCTCGGGTCATGATTCTGGGGTCCTGGGATTAGGCCCCACATCAGGCTCCTTGCTCAGTGGGGAGCCTGCTTCTCCCTCTGCCTCTCTGCCTGCTGCTCACCCTGCTTGTGCACTTTCTCTTTCTCAAATAAATAAATAAAATCTTAATATATATTGTTAAGAGGCAAAAACTAAAATGTTGGAAATGAAACCTTTTGGGAATTTAGAGGATGGAAATTACTTTTGTTAATAGTGATATCATTTTATTTTCTTATTTATTATTATTATTTTTATAGCCCAATGCTGAACATGAACTCACAACCCTGAGATCAAGAGTCAGATGCTTAACTGACTGAGCTACCCAGGCACTCATTATAGTGATTTTAGATGGAAAGGATGTGATGTGATATCTAGAATATTTGATGTGACATAATTAAATGAACATTAAAAGAACGAAAACTTAATTTTAAAATATGCTGTATTTAAGAGACTAGTAGACTGTACTAGATAGACTCTTTTCATATATTTCTTATCCTCACAATAATCTTGCAAGTGAAGCGACTTATCAAAATCACAAAACTCCTGAAAAGCCAATTTTTATGTATGAGATGTGTTTTTGAAGACTCAACAGTTTGACTATTCCCAGTGAAATAATGCCAGGTAGGGGAGACTCATTCTTATAGTGCACAAATCCATCTGTGTTATGGAATGTCTATTTTTTCCCTCTACATTGTTGCTAGCATTTGAAAAGTGCTCAGGGCTTCGGTGTTAGAGCAGCTTTTTGACCTCTCTGTTTTATTACACCAGATTTTCACTATAGTTTTCAGTATTAGCACCACTACTAACTAAATGCATGAGTGACATTGCTATAGTCTATTAAAAAGATTTCAAACTGGGCAGCCCTGGTGGCGCAGCGGTTTAGCGCCGCCTGTAGTCCAGGGTGTGATTCTGGAGACCCGGGATCGAGTCCCACGTCAGGCTCCCTGCATGGAGCCTGCTTCTCCCTCTGCCTATGTCTCTGCGCCCCCCCCCCACTGTGTCTCTCATGAATAAATAAAATCTTTAAAAAAATTAAAAAAGATTTCAAACTATGATAATAAATATTAAAAATGTTTCTTCACATACACGAACCCCAGTTGCCCAAAGACATTTTCATGCCTACCATTTACCACTTAAGAAATCTTTTTATAGGGCAGCCCAGGTGCTCAGTGCTTTAGCGCTGCCTTCAGCCCCGGGCGTGATCCTGGATACCCAGGATCGAGTCCCACGACTGGCTCCCTGCATGGAGTCTGCTTTCTCCCTCTGCCTGTGTCTCTGCCTCTTTCTGTGTCTCTCATGAATAAATCAGTAAAATCTTTAAAAAAAATTATTTTTTAAGGGACACTTGGGTGGCTTAGTGGTTGAGCATCTGCCTTAAGCTCAGGGCATGATGCTGGGGTCCTGGGATTGAGTCCCACATTGGGCACCCCACAGGGAGCCTGCTTCTCCCTCTATGTCTCTGCCTCTCTCCGTGTGTCTCTCATGAATAAATAAATAAAATACTTTAAAAAACCTTTTTTTTTTTAATGTAGTGGCATAAGTGGTGCCACCATGTGGTAATAGCAGAAACTTAGTTTATACTTCACTTGGCCTATCAGCCTTGAAATTAAAGTTTTTCCATAAAGTGATTTAAAAATTTTTTTGTGCTAGCCATAACTTGTATATTAAAGTAAGGCTTTATGTCAGACTGCCCTGATCTTTATTTCCTCCAATTTTTTTTTATTGTGGTAAAATATAGATAATGTAAAAAAAATAAAAATAGATAATGTATAATTTATTAGCTTAATCACTTTTAAACATACAGTTCAGTGATATTAAATGCATTTATGTTTGCAACTGTTACCACCATCCATTTGTAGAACTTTTTTCATCTGGTAAAACTGAAACTCTCTACCCTTTAAATATTAACTTCCCATTCTCCCCTTCTCTCGTTCCTTGGCAACCACCATTCTACTTATTCCTCTATGATCTTCACTACCTTATATAAGTGAAATCATGTAGTATTTGTCTTTTTGTTACTGGCTTGTTTCATGTAACATAATGTCCTCCAGCTTCATCCATGTTGTAACATGTGTCAGAATTTGCTTTTCTGGGATGCCTAGGTGGCTCAGCGGTTGAGCACCTGCCTTTGACCCAGGACGTGATCCTGGAGACCTTGGATCATGTCCCACATCAGGCTCCCTGCATGGAGCCTGCTTCTCCCTCTGCCTGTGTCTCTGCCTCTCTCTCTCTCTCTCTCTCTCTCTCTCTCTCTCTCTCTGAGTCTCTCATGAATAAATAAATAAAATCTTTAAAAAAAAAAAGAATTTGCTTTTCTTTTGAGCTGAATAATATTTCATTATTTTTACCACATTTTAGCTGTTGTGAATATTGCTGCTAAGTTCAAAATCTTGTCAAATGTGGCATACAACTTCAAAAAAGTCTATCTCTTCTAGATCCTGAATTGTCTTGTATTGCCTTTCCTGATATCCTCTAGTATGTGTTTCTTCTCCAGGTGAACCGTCCTATTGGCAGGGTACAGATCTTCACTGCAGACTTGTCTGAAATTCCCCGTTGCAACTGTAAAGCTACTGATGATAATCCCTGTGGGATAGACTCTGAGTGCATCAATCGCATGCTACTATATGAGTGCCACCCCACAGTGTGTCCTGCTGGAGGACGCTGCCAAAACCAGTGTTTCACTAAGCGCCAGTATCCAGAGGTTGAAATTTTCCGCACATTACAGAGGGGTTGGGGTCTTCGGACTAAAACAGATATTAAAAAGGTGAAGAAATTTTTTCATAATTTCGGATTTTTTTCTTTTTTGCATTTGTTTAATATGAGTAATTATTCTTGATTAATATTAGAAAATGATCATTAGAGGGAAGATAACATAGTATAAGGATTAACCTTACTGTTGGGTCTTGCTATATCCTAGAGTTTAGAGGCTTGAGAATAGTCTTTGTCTCCTTTACCTCTAAAGTCCTTAGTATTGATCATGTTCACTGTATATGAGGATAAAAAAATGAAGGGAATTCATAGAGATACTGTGGCCTTATTTATTTACTCTTTTGTGACAATCCTGGAATTTGTAGTTAAGATAAAGGGGATAATGAATATGTGATGACAGAGATGTTAATCACCTAAAAAATAAAATCTGTTTTTACTACGGGAAAATGTGTTTTGGTTCATAGAAAATAAAGAAGGATTAGGCCTTCTCTACTCTAATAAAAGTGCAGTAACATCTTCAACTTCAAACTTAGAAGGAACTGCAAGTATTAGTCTTTGTGTAGAATAAATCTTATTTGACATCTTAATAAAATAAGCCTTATTCTAGTTATGCTTTCTGAAGAATTCTACTGAAATTGGTTTCTAGTAAAGGAAGTATATATCGGTTGGTCTGTTATTTGCTAAGTAGCTATTATATATCTCCTGTGTGCCAGGCATTGTGCTGTAAACACAGTGAGAGACATAGCCCATCCTTTCATAAAGTTCACATTCTAGCGGGGAGAGACATAGATCAAGTGTAGTTCCCCAATGTAGAAGCACAAAGGGTTCTGGAGGCATGTGGTAAACCAGGTAAGTGACCTGAAATTAACTTTGAGAATATTTTAGGTTGAGAATTTAAAGGTAAGTAGTGATTGGCTTAGTCTAGTTGACTCCTAAAGCATTGCAGGCAAAGTGGACATCATCAATGAAAGCCAGTATGATTGTAGTGCAGCGAGTCAGGAGGGGACAGTATTGTAAAATGTGGAAGGGCAGCAGGCCAGGGCATGGTCCAAGGAAAAAACCATAGTTTATGGAAACTGACTTTCATGTTTTTGGGTATTTAAAGAGATCAACTATCTGTATCACCATTATAATGGAGCCCTAGCTTGCTTACTTCCATGTTGGTTGATCTTGAGTGTCCAGAGTATCCTGGTCTTTCTCATGGTGACAGTGATAGGAGTGGGAGGTGTTTTTCATTGTCAAATAGTTGAAGCATATTTGTGTTTCTTGATGAACCTTTGTTAAATTGACTAGGTACATGTGTGTGAACTACTTTGGAGATTCTGTTATTTTCATGAATTTAAAAAAAAAAACAGTTTGGGAACACAGTTGTGCTTTTTGCCATTAAGAACTATTTCTTATTCTAGGGTGAATTTGTGAATGAGTATGTGGGTGAGCTAATAGATGAAGAAGAGTGCAGAGCTCGAATCCGTTATGCCCAGGAACATGATATCACTAATTTCTATATGCTTACCCTAGACAAAGTAAGTATTATTTCCATTGTTATAAGATTGTGAAATTGAGCCATAGTGTGTGTAGGCATATAATTCACTGCCCAAAACAGTATTCCCTTACATTCATTCATAGGGTTAGTTAGCTTGGTCAGAGTAAATTTGCTCATTTCTGGCTATACATCCATTGCCAAAGGCAACAAAGGTACTCTTTGCTTTCCTTTTGAACTGTCCAATATTAGTTGGGTATTCTGTCTTTTAGTATTTTTCCTATAAGATTAAAACCTGGATCCAGCCAAGTAAATAATGATTCTTTCACCCTTTTATTTTAGATTGAGAAACTGATTTGTTTACTATTTAGTGCAATGAGAAGGTCATATAAATTGTAGAACTTAGCTTCTGAAACTAAGTCATCATTTCCAGTTACAGGAATTTGCTGATGAGTTTCATTTCATTAGTGCCTAGAATTATATTTGGGACTCATTCCTAATTCCAACATCCTAATATATTTATTTTCTATGTATCTGAGATTCTTCCTTATACCTGAATATTAGGGTCTGCTAGCTCCCTGTGACCCCTTCCATTGGCTATTATAACAGAATTCTCTTCTGATGTGAAACTTTGTGAACATTTATCAATTTGAACTCTTTGGTTTGTGAGATCATCACCTCCAGATATTCAGATCTTCGTTCGGGATGGGGTCTCAACATCAATATTAAAAACTCCTTAGGTGAGCGCCTGGGTGGCTCATTTGTTGAGCATTTGCCTTTGGCTCAGTTGTGATCTCAGGGTCCTGGGATCAAGTTCTCCCTCTGCCTATATCTCTGCTTCTCTCTCTGTGTGTCTCTCATGAATAAATAAATAAAATCTTAAAAAAAGAAACAAAACAACCCTTAGGTGATTTCTAATGTGTAGCCTAGGTTCAGGACCACCTAACTGAGAGGATGGGGCAAACTGCTGCTTGTATAGCAGTGGTCCTCAAACTTGAGCATATATCAGAATCCTCTAGTGGGCTTGCTATAACACATATTGCTGGCCTCAAGAGTTTCTGCTTTATTATGTTTGAAGTGCAGCCCAAGAATTTGTATTTCCAATAAGTAATAGATGTGGTGCTAGTGCTGGATTAGTGACTACACTGTGAGAACTCCTGGGAGAGTCAAACTTTAGAAATAGGAACTCCAACTTGTTAGAATACACAGGAAGTATCTAATGAGCATCATCTCTTGGAATTTAAGGACCGGATCATTGATGCTGGTCCCAAAGGAAACTATGCTCGGTTTATGAATCATTGCTGCCAGCCCAACTGTGAAACACAGAAATGGTCTGTGAATGGAGATACCCGTGTTGGCCTTTTTGCCCTGAGTGATATTAAAGCAGGTAAGTGTCAATTAAGGATCCTGGAGCTAAGAAGGGAATTTCAGGTTTTATCATCTAAAAATCCCATATGTCTTCTAACCCAAAATGAGGTCTGCAAACTCTTAGGGATACAGAAAAGTCTTTCCAGGTGGCACTTGGCATATAATATTTTTGTGGTGATTGGTGGTATGGCAAAAGATACATTAAGTATGTAATTTAACCAGTTTTTTAATTGTACGATTTTATTGCAATAGATCATTCACATTTTTGTGCAACTGTCGCCTCTATCCATCTCTATAACCTTTTCATCTTCCCCAAGGGAAACTCTATCCATTAAACACTAATCTCCCATTTTCTCTCCCCTCAGCCCTTGGCACCACAGTCAGACACTATTCCAAACATTACCATATTTAATCTTCACAAAAATGCTGTGAAGTATATGGTATTATACCTGTTTTACTTGGATTCTTGGGTCTGGCTCCTCTAACCACCCTGGGGAATATCCTGTGACTTCAGTCCTTATATCTCTCTTGACTGCTTTCAGTACATTTGTACTTAGAACTTTAGTCTTTGTCCATGTGGATGGATTCCTCTACCGTTTCTAGCCACAAATTTTTCTTCTCTCTCCTCCCATATTCACTTAGCTCAATTGGCATGGTGTGGGAATTCACAGACCTTGTTCTTGTCCTCACTTAACTTCCAGTCTGCATGGGTGGTATGAGAGGAATGAGACAGAATGTGCTCAGTGCTACGTGGAGTTCATGTAAAGCCTTGGCAGATGGAATCAGAACTTTTCAGCTTGCTCTACTTACTCATTCAGCTTTGCTGACTTTTCATATACCTGCTCTGCTTTCTACCACATGTGTCATACTCCTTATCTTTTCCATTACCCTTTGCCATATCCCATAAGTGCAGACCTCAATGATTGTTGAATAATGGACTCTTCTCTAGAATGGTTTGAATCTTGCCTTTATGTACACCTGTACCTTTCGATTTATCCTTTGTGCAGTTATGTTTACATAGTGGATGGTGAGTAAGCAGCAGGTTGTATCAAGTATCCTCCTATCTTATGTTTGTGTATATGGTTGAGTTGTATTATAAGCACATTAAATTAATGGAAATTCAGTTATAAACTCATACATTGTTTAATAAGAAAATAATAGTGTGAGTAGATTATCTATCATTCAGTACAGTATTCCACAGTGGATGTGAAAGGGAAGACATAACCCTGCTGTTACCTTTGTCAGTCTCAGTTCCTGCAAGCTCCTTGCAGTGTGAACCTCTTAACACGCCGTGAGTGATTGCAGGTTTTGTACCGTTTGGACCCCTAAATATAAAGCAGCTGCTTTATAATTTGCTTAGCTCAATAAACAAATAATCTATATTAATCCAATATTAGATGAAAAACTATATATATCAGTCTCATTGATGAAAGATAGGTCAGTGTGCAATGGGAAATCTAAGATTTAATCATTTTGACCAAATGATTATCACTTTAAAAATTAACAGTGAGGGGCAGCCCCGGTGGCCCAGCGGTTTGGCACTGCCTTCAGCCCAGGGCGTGATCCCGGAGACCTGGGATCGAGTCCCACTTCGGGCTCCCTGCCTGGAGCCTGCTTCTCCCTCTGCCTGTGTCTATTTCTCTCTCCCTCTCTCTCTGTGTCTCTCATGAATAAATAAAATATTAAAAAAAAATTAACAGTGAACCGTTACCCCAGTGCAGAGTTAATCTCTTTGTATACATATATTAAAAATTCTTATATTTGTTAGGCCTTCCCTAACATGGTTTGAATTTGAATATTTGTATGTTTTATTTGCTCTCAGTTTTGATAAGATTCACTTTTGACAGAAAGGGACAATTTGTCCCTTAAATCTGTACATCTTTTTTAAAAGTTTACAAGTTACTGCTATGTGCATTATGTCAGTACTCTAAATAAGCTTGAGATTGTCTCTCCATTTAATAAATGTACTCTCAGGGCTCAAATCACCCAGCTAGATTGTGGTAGTAGGGATATAAAGCTGGGGCCTGTGTCTGATCTGTGGTGTAGAGTTCTCTAGTATTATTCTGTATTGATATGTCTCTCCCTAAGTTGTGCTAGGTTTGGCACAGACCAACAGCTTTTCTTCATACTTTTATTCCCAATGCCTAGCACATCAGTGTTTTGTTTGTTTGTTTTTGTTTTGCTTTTGGTAATGAATTAATATATTTTGATTCTGGAAGGTTAGAAAACAAACAACTTGGGATAATCAAAATCTCTACAGTAAAGGTTATTTTAAATATCACTTGTTAAGCTGTGTAAGTTTTTCTGCTATTAAGTTGTACTTGCTGATTAATATTACAAGATTAGAATTTATTACTATTTCATTAATATAGTTGGATTAGAGTTAATAAATCCCTTTCTATCCTCTGAAAAATCTGTTCTGCAAGTCCATATCCTTTGTGATTAATACAGAAATAATGTAATTAAAGCCATAGATAGTAATATCTTCATGGTCTTTTATGCAGGCACTGAACTTACCTTCAACTACAACCTAGAATGTCTTGGGAATGGAAAGACTGTTTGCAAATGTGGAGCCCCAAACTGTAGCGGCTTTTTGGGTGTAAGGCCAAAGGTACCTTCCAAACATTTCCATTGCGAATAATGGTGTAGTTCTCCCACCCTAGCCAGTGGAACAGCTGACTCTAAGATGTCTTTTTGGAATAATGACATTGGATAGTTGTCAATAGGACAACTGGCACTTAACTAAGCATGTTGATGATCAGTTTGGTTATTCAAAAGCTGATCTTTGGGTATTTTTGAGCAGTCTGACTTCTAATTGGTAACACCTTTCTAGCTAAAAAAAGCTGTAAAATAGGAATCCATAAAGTAGATTACTTCCCATGTCTTTATTGGTCTCAGCTGATCATACTCACATTTCCTAATAGCTGCTTAGATTCTTGGTATCTTATGTCCCATCTGTTTCTCTTTTCTAAGCTCTCAAAGAATCCAATATTGAATTTAAGATTCTAAATGTAGTATAACACTGTGGATAAACATAGGGCCCTTAATCTTACCATCTTAACAAAGGATAACCATTGTTGTGTCTTACTCCCTGGGTTTTTATGTGCATTTTAGCTGGCTTACAATTCTGTAAAGAAATACTTATAATTCTATATCCTGCATTTCTTAAATATTATATTTTTTTTCCTTGCTGTCATGTGATCTTTTTGACCATTATCTTTAGTGACTGTTTAATTTTTGAATACACTGGTTGGACTGTACTAGATAAACATACATCCTTATTTTTCAATTAACTTACAGAACACTGAAAATTGAAGTTTAATTTTCATGAAAAGTAGGCTACACAGCGACTCCAATTGGATATTTCCCATTATGCTCTTTTAATTATGGAAGTCAACATTAACAACTGAAAAATGTAAATTAGCCCAGAAACCAATAACTAAAGGAGGAGCAATCATTTTGAGCAAAAACACATGATGATAAACACCCACCAATTATTCTTTTATCAAATAAGGAAAGTTATGTTTATATTTTATGGAGTTTTTTTTCTTTAGTCGGTTAAATGGTCTTGTTCCTTAAGGTGTCCAGTTTATTTTTTCTCTATAAATCAAAATAATAACTGAGTTTAACAAAGGTTAATGGTATTACAGTCACTAGGAATGTCTTTCTGCATCCTTAACATATATGTGACATTTCACACATGAAGCAGAGAAATTTAAGGGCAGAAGTTTAGAAATGGGAGATCACTGTGGGATAGTAATATATCAGATTGATTGTGGATGTTTCCAGTCCAAGATAAATAATGTGATGAAACCCATGGGATTTGGTAACCAAGTGTGGGCTTCAGGGAACACAGAGGAGACCTGCTGGCTACACCAGGATCTGTCTTGGGGAGTAGTGGATATGAACCTAATTTGATATAGATGAAGATGCCCACATAGCTTATTGTGGGCAAGGACCATGAGTTCTCTGTGCCTTACTAACATTTGACTCTTAAGTGCTCAGTGAAGGTTTGTTAAATAAAGAAATGTGTGTGTATACACAGATAAGACACACGTGGATAAACATAAAAGTAAAACTTAATGAAAGGGGAATGTTTAACACTAGCCTTATGTGTTAACAAAAAGAAGTTCATTTCTATTTCATTCAGGTGGTAAGAGTAGTTGATAGAAAAGTTAGAATTAATTTATTAGGTACCTATGATGTGCCAGGTGCCTTTCCTGCATTTTCTCTTATCTTTAGAACAGTCTGTGAGGACTGTCTCTTCCCAGAGGAGAGATGAGGCTCAGAGAGGATAGTTAACCTGGTCAAGATCACACAACTCCTGTATCGACAGAATGCTGACTGCTCAATATCTGACCTCTAGAATCAGCCGATTGCCACAGAAGAAAAGTCAAAGAAATTCAAGAAGAAGCAACAGGGGAAGCGCAGGACCCAGGGTGAAATCACAAAGGAGAGAGAGGATGAGTGTTTCAGCTGTGGGGATGCTGGCCAGCTCGTCTCCTGTAAGAAGCCAGGCTGCCCAAAAGTTTACCACGCTGACTGTCTAAATCTAACCAAGCGACCAGCAGGTTGGTGCCAAAATCCATTTAGCGTGCTGCTTGTTCTCTGCCAGAATTGTCAGAGCCATGGTCTTCCCATGTATAGCATTGAAGGTGGTATGGTTCATATTTCCCATTCTGGAAATAAAGGCTTGGAATCCTAGTTTTAGAGAAGGGAACACAAACTTATTATATGTCAAGCAGTTTATTTATATTTATGTTATGTTATTTTATCCTCCCAGCAACCCATAAAGATGAGACCTTTTCACCTTCCCATGATGCAGATGAGGAAACTGAGAGTCCAGTTTGGTGAGATGACTTGTCACAATAGAGCATGTAGATGGAGGAGTTGAATTGAAAGCCAGGTTTTCTGACATCAAGGCCACTAAATCTTTCCTTTCAAAAGAAAGAGAGGTTGATATAGCATGGAGTTTGGGGTTAATTCAGTCAGTGAAGTGTGGACTAGACATCCTTTTAGCCCCCTTCACCCACCCCCTTCTGACGGAGAGGCAGCTCCATCAGCGGATATATGAGAAAGCTGCTTAGGCAGATAGAAGGTGTTAAGGAATTTGTGGCTGGCATAGCCACTAGCTTTTGAGTGGTGGTTTGGAGTTAGAAGGATTTTAAGGAAGTTGGATATGTGGTCTGTTTTTATTGACAGAAGCAAGAAAGCAATAGGGGGCCACTCCATCTGAGGAGATTATACATCACAAGTGGCCTGCTCCCAGGAATTGCAGAGAGAACTTTGGGGTGGGAGTGAGAGGAGTTTGTCCCTGAACTAGCTTTCCTTTGATGTATAGTTGCCAGGGCAATGCAATAATAGAAACAGAGGTAGTGTGAGGGCAAGGCCACTTGACAAGTTATGTCAGGAAGTGGAGATGGAGAATTGTTTCAGGATCAATAGTTCAGGATTGTAGCTGGTACAGGCTGCAATAGAACTTGTCTTGCCTAGAAGCCAGGAGTCAGGGCTAGCATAGTTTATTTGGAAACTGAACTTGGACTAAAACACCATGGACATCAGAGACTCTCAGGTATCATGAAATAGGGCAAACAGATGGTAGGTCAGGATCTTTTCCACTGGTTCTGTGTGGACAATATAGGTAAAATTTGTGCTAGTTTCAAGACTTGAAACCGAGCAAAAGAAAATCTCAGTTTTTCATATTTGTATATCTCCTCCCTGTTCCTAAATATAACCAAATAAGTAGAAGTTTTAATAGCTGAGATTATCCCTTTAGAGTTGAATATTTAAAGGCTATATAAAGACAAATGGAGTTTGCAAAACTGTGGAAGTAATGTCTTCACATCCTATCTAAGAGGAGCTTTGGATTTTTACCCCCCTAGAAATAGTCATAGAAATAAGAAATTACCACTGCCTATATGTTTAGTTGATAATCAGTTGGTACTTGGTACTTGGCTTTTATTTTTATGTGTTATACAGGAGAATCAGATTCTGGGGCAGGAGAAGTGTTAAGTGAGTGGCATGAGCTTTCTACAGAAGGTGGCAATTTGAAATCACTCCTTTGACGCGCACTCAGAGGCATGGTCCATTTCATGCACCTTGCTTGTTTTCCTAAGTGTTTGTTTCACATCTTTGTTTTTAGGGAAATGGGAGTGTCCTTGGCATCAGTGTGACATCTGTGGGAAGGAAGCAGCCTCCTTCTGTGAGATGTGTCCCAGCTCCTTTTGTAAACAGCATCGGGAAGGGATGCTCTTCATCTCCAAACTGGATGGGCGTTTGTCTTGTACTGAGCATGACCCCTGTGGGCCCAACCCTTTGGAACCTGGGGAGATCCGTGAGTATGTGCCTCCCCCAGTACCGCTGCCTCCAGGCCCAGGCACTCACCTGGCAGAGCATTCATCAGGAGTGGCTGCTCAGGGGCCCAAGATGTTGGATAAGCTGCCTGCTGACACCAACCAGACACTGTCACTGTCCAAAAAAGCTCTGGCAGGAACTTGTCAGAGGCCACTGCTGCCTGAAAGACCTCCTGATAGAACTGACTCCAGGCCCCAGCCTGTAGATAGGGTCAGGGACCTTGCTGGGTCGGGGACCAAACCCCAATCCTTGGTATCCAGCCAGAAGCCATTGGACAGGCCACCTGCAGTGGCAGGACCAAGACCCCAACTATCTGACAAACCCTCTCCAGTGACCGGTATAAGCTCCTCACCCTCAGTCAGGTCTCAATCACTGGAAAGACCTCTGGGGACAGCTGACCCAAGGCTGGATAAATCCATAGGTGCTGCCAGCCCAAGGCCCCAGTCACTGGAGAAAACCCCAGGCCCTCCTGGCCTGAGACTTCCACCGCCAGACAGACTGCTTGTCACCAGCAGTCCCAAACCCCAGACTTCAGACAGGCCCCCAGACAAATCCCATGCTTCTTTGTCCCAGAGACTCCCACCTCCTGACAAAGTACTTTCAGCTGTGGTCCAGACCCTGGTAGCTAAAGAAAAAGCACTGAGGCCCGTGGACCAGAATACTCAGTCAAAAAATAGAGCTGCTTTGGTGATGGATCTCATAGACCTAACTCCTCACCAGAAAGAGCGGGCTGCTTCACCTCATGAGGTCACACCACAGGTTGATGAGAAGATGCCAGTGTTGGAGTCAAGCTCATGGACTGCCAGTAAAGGTCTGGGGCAGATGCCACGAGCTGTAGAGAGAGGCAGTATGTCAGATCCTGTCCTTCAGCCACCAGGGAAAACAGCCGTCCCTTCGGAGCACCCCTGGCAAGCGGTTAAATCACTCACCCAGGCCAGACTTCTCTCTCAGCCTTCTGCCAAGGCTTTTTTATATGAGCCAACAACTCAGGCCTCAGGAAGAGCACCTGCAGGGGTGGAGCAGATACCAGGGCCTCCCAGCCAAGCACCAGGCCTGGTGAAGCAGGTGAAGCAAATGACCGGAGGCCAGCAACTACCTGGACTTGCTGCCAAGAGTGGGCAGTCCTTCAGGCCTCTTGGGAAGGCCCCATCCACCCTCTGTACTGAAGAGAAGAAGTTGGCAACTGCAGAGCAGAGTCCCTGGGCCCTGGGAAAGTCCTCACCAGGGCCAGCGCTCTGGCCCATGGTGGCTGGACAGACAATATCGCCGTCTTGCTGGTCCTCTGGGAACACACAGACATTGGCACAGACTTGCTGGTCTCTTGGAAGAGGGCAAGACCCTAAACCAGAGCAAAATACACTTCCAGCTCTTAACCAGGCTCCTTCCAGTCACAAGTGTGCAGAGTCAGAACAGAAGTAATATGAGTAAATGTCACATGACCAGACCAGCTGTCCCCAGGGTTCTTGGGAAAGGGAAATTATCTCTCTTTTCCCCTCTTAAAAAACAGACCCTCAACACTTTTCCACTGTTCTTCTTTCCTTATATCCCAACACTCAGAACTCTTGTGACATTAGCCAGTGGGGGCATGTGGTTGTGTAAACCATGTACGGAAATCCAAGTGGGCCCTAGCCAAGGAGACAGACAGACTTCGGTCTTTTTCCTCCAATCTTTACACATGGTAACTTGAAATAAAAAGTCCACTCTGGAGTCAAGCATGGGATTCAATTCCACTGGTCAGGTTGGAAGGTTGAGGGGCTCTCAAAGCTATTTCTCTAGCCCTACTGAACCCCTCTGAGGGCACCTGATGAACACTTGGGAGGAACTGATATCTGTTCATATCAGTGGTGATTTCTTGAGCACTCACATGTGCTAGACCAGGTGCTAGTCACTGACAGGAGATACAGAGATAAAGAAGACCTGATCCCTGTGAGTCTAACATGCCTGCCTGGGTTCCCAGGTTGTTTTCACGAACCTTTGACCAGGAAATAACAGGAAGTTCTGAGGGGCCCTGGGGCTCCAGACTCATTTTGTAATGTCCTTTATGGCCCCAGAAGTAGTTGTGTTGAGTAAGTGTCCCCTGGTTGGGTGTGCTTGTGTGCGTGTGCATGCATGCACGCTCATATGGAGGTCACTATAGGTGGGAGGGGGTTGCATTGAGGCCACGTGGAGCCATTGGCTGGGCAGCCACTACTACTGCTGTCTGGGTTGTGCAGTCTGAAACTCTGTCCTTGACAGAGCAGCTGGTTGTGGGGGGCTGGGCTCTACAAGGACATAGCTTTCCTCAAGTATAAGAAGGCAATTGGCAAGCTTACCTTTCTTTTCTACCTGTTTTCCTCCTTTTACATCAGCCCACCCCCATGCCCGCCCCCTAAATACTCAGGTGCTTTCAGATTTCAGAGTTGGGCAGTGGACATAGGGAACCTCTGGCAAGCTCTGGGCTACATCTACCACCAGCTCAGGGAGAGTGCCAGATCCTGATGGAAGATTCTTCTGATCCTTCGCTCTCTTACCTGAATGGAGGGAGTCCTCTCCTTCACTGATGGAGTCTACCACCCTACCCCTGAGAATCGCTGTGTTCTATATTGAGAGCACCTGCCTACTGACCTTATTCAAAGGCAAGCCAGAACCCTTCCCCTATGACTGGCAAGATGGGGTGTTCAGAGCAATGTCCAGTCTGAGAGATGATTCCTCATAACTGCTGATTATCTGTTACTGCTGCCCTGAGCTGGGGCCCAAGGGCTGGGAAATCTGTTGGTGCTACCCTGCCCTACCATTCACCCAGCTCACCAACTGCCAACAGGAAGTGCTGTTTGGCCAGTTCCTTCCCATTCACTCACCCCTCCTTTTGTCCCTAGACCAAACATGTTTACCTCTCTGCTTTGCCAACTTAGCCAGCAGCTTTAGCCAACAAACCATCTCCTGGCCCAGATGTCTCCTGGCCATTCTGTTTCAGTTATGGCTTTTACACCCTCAACAGGATTCTGTATTTTGTCCCAATTTCCTCCTCCTAAGTTCTCATTGAGGTTACCCACATCGCTTCTAAGGAGGGAACAATAGTTATAGAAGCATTTGCGCTTTATATAAAGATTAAAAGAAGAATTTGCTTTTATTTCCCAAAGTCTGTCTCGGGTTGAGACACCTGAACTCAGGCAGAGGTGCGAGGCTGGGCAGGGCTGTCCCGAGTCTAGGGGCCTATCTGCATCCCACTTAGACCTCGGAATCTCCTCTGTAAATTCCACCTGCCTAGTTCTCCCCTTTTCATCCTCTCTTCCCACATCATGAGAGAAGAAAACTTCTTTGTTCAAAAGGAAGAGAAAACAAAGCATCTTATTTTCTTTTTAAAATTTTAAACCATGGAAAAGATATTTTTAAAGAAATCCACCCAGAACATTAAAGTTCATTATATTAAGTATTTATCATGTGTGAGAATAATAAGTATATAACTGCAGCTAGTAGGTCCCTTTCCCTAATCTCTTAGGCTGTATGAGTAGGGTTTGCTTGGTGCCAGTCCTGTGCCCTTCTCTCCTGTCATCTGTAGTTGTGATCAGAAAAAGATATTCGCACTGCACTGTCAGAATCTCCTTTCACTATGTTGTGTGTTAAATTACCGTAGCTCTTTGTTTCATGAAATAAACTGTGAATTTGGGGGTGGGTGGGGTGTGTGCAGGCTATGTAAAAAAAATTAAGTGGAGAAGTTTGATCCTGAAATAGGCTTTGGTAGGTAATTGACTTGACATCCGCTCTCTAGATATGTCTCACAGGACAAGGAGTGAGGGAAAGGTGGGCCATAATTGGCCGCTGTGATTTTGTTTTGGTTCTTTCCATTCTCCACCATTTGCTGGAAACTTCCTTCCAGAACTGCCTGGGAAAACAACTTTTGAGGTGTGCTTGGTCTGGGGGTGAGGGTGGGGGGGTGGCAGTTCTTTATCTAAATGGATAGACAACCAGGCTTTTGTGAGGGTTACTGAAAGGCTCTCAGGTAGAATGGAAACTAGAAATTCAGCTATCAGGCCCACTGATAGCAGCATCTGATACCAGATTGTTAACATCAAGAAAGCAGTCACCATACAATTAGAAGCAGAGCCAGAAGGACTATTGGGAAATTGAGACTCTTGCATGAGGGACAGTGGGGAGGGAGTAACCTTGCCAGCCCTTGGGGACTCTCCTGGAGCCCTGTACTGAGACCTTTTCTCCAGAGGGTGTGAATTGGCAGTTAAAAGGAAAGCTTTTCTCTTAGAATCCTGATCTTTGTGTAGGGTAGTATTTTGGTATTTGGCCAAGTGCCTGGAAATCAGGATCTCAAGAGAATGCCTCTGAGCCAGTCCCCAGGAAATGTTTCCAAGGGGGAAGCCATGGCTTCCATAGGTTGCTAAAGAACCAATATGTCTCCTAGCCCTGTTAAGTCAAAAGAACTTTATAGAAATTTGAATTCAAAGCCTCGTTTGCTTCTCCTTTGGAGAAACCCATTCTAATAGCAAAATAGCTGTCAAAGCTACAGAAGTATCCCAGGTTTTTAAATGTCTGCTTCCCCCATAAGTTACTGAGTTTGAGGTGATTTAAGTCACTGTGTTGATTCTCTAATGAATAACTACCAAATCTGCATCTTTAGCATCAATGGAAATAATTGTTTTATCACATTCTCTACCCCACACTACAGTCAGGGCACAAAGCGCATCAGTGATCCTTTCCCAGGTTCAGCAGCATCTCCTTACTGGAACTGGACTCCCAGGTCACATCATGAGAACAGAATGGCAGGAAGGAAGTATGGTCCTGGCAGCTTCCCCTGTGGAAAGGAATTAGGAAAGCACTAAACGTGGTTGGATTTTGCCCTCAGCTCCTATAAAGTGGGTTTTCTCCTAAGGCTTTTTCGGAGGATATTGTCATCCTTTTGGGGTTTGTCAACCAGGAGGTTGGAGTGGCCCAGTGTCCTCACCTGAGGTCATTGCAGGAAAGGAGCTTCCACAAGTCCCTTTTCCTGCTAAATAATGCTTGGGCTGCTTCATGTGCTAGACATTCCAGATCACTTAGAGCTAGGTAGCTGCTGCACGAGACTGTCATTGGTTATGACCAATTAGCTCTCAGCTGAGCTTCCTAGGGCCATTGCAGCAGGGCCAGAGGTTGCTGTAGGACAGATTGAAATAATAGATAATTGCTTTGAACACAAAAAAAATGTAATGATGGTGCTAATTTTCTGGTATAAATAAGCACTGCCAAGGGTTGAGAGGGACTGGTGAATTGAGAAACCGAGGTTCCTGCTTTGGAGGAAGAAAATTATGTTGAATGGTTTCTTTGAGGCTCTATTAGAGAAAAAAAAAAAGGCAGAGCCTCAGTGAAGCCTGCACCCGACCCTGGAATGGTTCAGTGTAATCCTAGGCAGAAGAGATGCTGTATCCAGACGAGGGTGGCCATTGAGTTTCTCAGGGCTGGTGTCACCTTGTCACCTGGTGTAGCCTCCGTCCACACTGCCTAGAACAGGTTGGTAGAGAGCTCCAGCTGTGGGGTTCTCCTGTTACCTTCTGCCCCTCTCTACCTCTTCTACTCTCATGGGAGCACCTCTATTGCTTATGAAAATTAAGGGTAATATTTCTTAAGGAAGTGGAAAGAGTTTATTTTAATTAGAAATCCACAGCCTGAGAAATGTTTCCTCCTAGCATAAGCAAAATCATGTTAAACTCTTACATGGTCCCTTCTCTAGAGCTGCTTTCCCATGACTTTCAAAACATCGGGCTATTGAGGGGCTTCAGTTCTAATATCCTGGAAGTCAAGCAAAGCTTTGTGGACAGGAGATGAGCCCAGGGAGTAGGAGCAAAAGTGAATGGTTGTGGTGCTTTAGACTTCCAGGGTAGGGCAGAAAACAGCCGGTCTCCAGGTCCAAGGTGGGTGCTGCTGTGTGTGCATGTAGAGGAGTGTATTGAAGATGGGTGAGTGCAGCACACGGGAGCTCACGGGAAGAGCAGCTTTCTAAGTCTTGGCGAAGAAACAAGCTGACAATAGAGATCTATATATTTTTTAGAAAGGGGCGGGGGGGGGGTTGTCAGCTGAGTTCCATCACTGGTCTTTTGCCCCCTTCCTCCCCATAGATTGTCAGCTGTAAGTGAAACTCTTAGTGAAAAAGAGGGGAGCCCTGTAGGAGTCCCCATAAACATGTACTGTAATTCTTTGTATATAGAAAAAAAATTACTGTAAAGTAAAGTTTAACTTTACTCTTATGGCCCTTGCCCTGTGTTTTGTTTGTTGTCCGTGGGGAGATGTAGCTTAACAGGAGGGAGGACGGGTTTGGGGTAAGAGCAGAAACCAGCCCGAGATTAGTTCCCAGGTTGGGGACATGGGGAGGTGAACCCCTCCTCTAAGCATCTCCAGGAGTGGTGTGGGTTTCCTCCCAGCAGCCACCAGCTACCAAAATGTTTTTCACTTCTTTTGGGAGTGGCTGGTGTCAGTTTCAGCCTCTATATAGGAAGCTTCCATTACCCACGAAGGAAGAGTATTTTAAGGAATTGGTTTTAAAAAAGGAAGCAGAACCAGAGCATTTTCTAAATGTGAGTCTGGGGAGTAGTGTGGGAAGGTAAGCATTCAATCCTAGCATTACTATTTGCTCAGGATCTTTGCTGCCCTGAACTGGGTAGTGGTCACCTCATTTTACAGATGAGAAATTCAAGCCCAAGTTACAGTCCCTTTTCTGTTGATAGCTGAATTGGGATCCCAATCTGGATCCATAAGACCTTTCTGTGTTGCAGAACAATAACGATTTTTCTTCATTAAACCACAGTGTAGTATGTCCCTGGGAAGCTTAGGCTTGAGCCACAGACATGACTCCATGACTTAGACATGACAGAAGTAGTGGTAGAACCTGCTAGTCTGAGTTAGGAGTGCTTGATCCTTTGATCTCTGGGCACCACTTAAGTGCCTGTCTTTCGTGAGCTTTGCATTGCCCCAACCCCAGCCTCTCACCTATCCTTGTCCCCCACTAAAGAATAGAAAAAGGCGCTTCTGTTTCTACATTATCTCAGATGCAACACTGGAGTGAAGTACTTGGCTTCCAAAAGGATAAGAGCTGGGAGGAGCCTTAATGTAGGAAGTCAGGCCAGCCAGGTGGCCCCAGAAAGAACTAGGTGTCTTGACACCTAATCCACACAGCAGGGAGAGGGGCTGAGTGTGATTCACAGTGCATCGATTTTATTTACAAATAAAAAGCCACTTAAATAATCTGCAGACACAAGTGCTTCCAGGGCAAGAGCCTGGGGTCCAAGTAAGCCTTTACCCTCCTCACACCCATCAGTCAGCCCAATGCTGCCACCATTCCATGGGCCAGCACAGGCAGGTGCCACCTCTGCTGCCACGGGGACTGGGGGTAGCTCAGACGTATGACCACTCAAGCCCAGATGGGAGCTAGGTCTAGCCCTTCTGGGGGAATTCCTTTAATTCCCCTAGACCAGGTGAGTGGTGGTGTCTCAGTGATGACAACAGCTGTAGAAGTAGGGGTTTGCCTTCTGGCCCAGGTCCACGCCCTTGTCCTCTGTCAAAGAGAGGTGGCAGCTCAGCACCATTCTGTTTGGGGATCAGGTAACTCGTGAAGGGGGCCAGATGCTGTGGGGCTACAGGAAGTCTCCAGAGTCTGGGGAAGCACACACCTGTCATCACCTGGAAGGCAGCCACACTGACGTAATCCTCTGCCACTTTCTGGAAGAGCTCGTCTGGCAGGAAAAAGGACAAGTCAGTGAGAGCTCAAAGTCCGTGACCCTGGAATCACCCAGTAACTCCGCCCTCCAGGCTCTTCTCTGCCTCCTCTGATGCCCTGCCTATTCCTGCTGTGAGGCCCCCTGACAGCACTCACCCACGCTCTGGCCTGTCTTGCTGGATGTTTCAAAGAGCTGAGCTTTGATATCTGTAAAGAGAAGTGACTAAAGCTGATTCTGCTACCTGAGAATTGGAAGCAAAAGGGAAGGCTAGCAGTTCAGGGAAATTAATGTACCCCACACATTCAAGGAGGCCAGAAGCCCTTCCCAAGGGATCTAGCCTAGCCATGGCAGCTAAGGCAGTTCATATTTTCTGTGCTCTACCCAAGCAGCCACCTCCCTCCCCCACCCCTGGGGAGCTGAGGAACAGCTACTGTCTGCGTAGTCCTGGACATCGTGGAAGTCCACACGTCGACGCCGCCTGTCCTCCTCCAGCAGGTCACTCTTGGTGCCACACAGGTAGATCTGACAGCCCTAGAGCAAAAGACAAGGTCAGGGTCCCTCTCATAGACCCAAGCCCCAGGTTTTCTGGTGAGGTCTGGCACTTACCTCCTCTAGGTTGCGCAGTTCCTTCACCCAGAACTTTGCCCGCTCAAAACTGCTACTGTCCGTCAGGTCTTAATACAGACACGCAGAAAACAACCAAGAATCAGGCGCTGTTCTCTAAGACCAGCCTGACATCCACCCCCTCTTGTTTGAGGAACAAGCCAGAACCTCTCTTACCATAGCAGACGATGGCAGCCTTAGCTCCCCGATAGTAGATCCGGCTCATGGCCTCGTAGCGCTCAGAGCCTGCTGTGTCCTGAAGGGCAGGGGCGGCTCAGCCTGAGTTCCTGACCTACTCCCCAAGACTGCAAACTAGTACTACGTTCTCCAGACCCCTATTTTAAACTGGGGTCTGGAATAGAAAAATGGCCTCTAGTCAGCCAGTAACAGGCAGGAGAAAATAAGCCTCCTCAGGAATGGGTCTTAGGACTGCTTGCCCAGGGGACTTACCCAAATACCTAAAGTCACCGTCCGGTCTCCAACGGACATCACCTTGGCCACGAAGGCGGCCCCGATGGTCTGCAATCAGTGGCAAGCGATCAGGGCCGCGGGTGCGGGCCAGCTCCCTCCCACTCGTGCCGGGCCCCGCGCGGCGCACTTACGTTCTGATAGGGCCCCACCAGGAAGCGGTCGTGCACGTATCGTTCCACCAAGCTTGTCTTGCCCACGTACTCCTTGCCCAGCATCACCACCTTGACGTCCACGCGCTGCCCGCTCATGCTCTCTGGGCTGCCTCACCCGCCTCAGGGTCCTGAGCGGGGGCGGGAGGCAAACCCGGATCTCCGCTCCGGCAGGCAGCGCCCAAGCCTCGGCCCCTGACCCCAGGCGCCAACCTACGACTTGGAGACACGGCGTCGGCGGGAGCTCCGGCAGCTCCCCCGTGTGCCCCACTCCTCGGCCCCCGGCGCTGACCCTCCTTCAAAGAGCCCAGGACTCAGGGCGGCCTGGGAGCGCGCGCGGCAGCGCCCTCAACGGCGCCGCATGCCGCCGCCCAGCTCGGCCTTCGGGCTCAGGCGTCGTTCCGGCACGGCCTCCTCCCCACAGAACCTAGGGGCCCCTTCAACCCGGGTCGGTCCAGCAGCGCCGAGACTCCCGCGGACGGGGGGGGGGGGAGAAAGGGTGAGGGGGCGGGACCGCAGGGTCACGTGCCCGGGCGCCGGAAGTGGTCGGTACTGCTCGGCTGCGCCGGAAGTTGCGCGCGGCCCGACAGCTCCTCATGGCGGCGGCGGCTCCTTGGGCGCGGCGTGGTGGTTACTGAGCTGCGAGTCTGGCGGGTGTGCGCCGAGTCCCGGCCCGGCCTCTGCGTGCCCCCCCCGGGCTTCGCACCCCTGATGCTGCGCGGGTGCTGAACCCGCCCCGGCCGGGACGATGGTGAAGTATTTCCTGGGCCAGAGCGTGCTCCGGAGTTCCTGGGACCAAGTGTTCGCTGCCTTCTGGCAGCGGTACCCGAATCCTTATAGGTACGTAGCACTGAAAAGAGCAGTCCTCCCCCTCGCTGTCTGGAGATGGAAGTATGGAAGTGTAGGGCCAGGAGAGAATCGACATCGAGTCGGAGATAGGGGATCGTCGGAACCATGGCCGTCTTCTTTAGGGTAAGAAGACCCTATTGGAGAAGCGGCCAGGCCAGGCCTGCAAGATAGTGGGAAGAGGCTGGGCCTGAGCGGTGGTGCACCTGAGGCTGTAGTCCAAGGTTCTCTCATTTCGCAGAGGTGAGACAGGAAGAGGCGGCGGCACAGCAGTTGGGAGGGATCCTGAGGTTGGAAGTCCTGGCGCTGGCCTGTTCTTCTGCCTGTGGCGCTCTCCACTGGTGTAATAAATCATGAGGTCGGGTCAGCAAGAGGGCGGGAGTTGGAATTTGCCCTCGGATAGGCGCAACGGACTCTAGTTGAGGTCTGGGCCATACCACTTAACAATGCAAGTTTGAGGAAGGCATGGCCGTTCTGGGGTGGGAGGCCCCGGCTGGGAACCCCAACAGGCGGTCTTTCAGCATGCATGCTTCATTCTGATACTTGCAGCAAACATGTCTTGACGGAAGACATAGTGCACCGGGAGGTGACCCCTGACCAGAAACTCCTGTCCCGGCGTCTCCTGACCAAGACCAACAGGATGCCTCGCTGGGCGGAGCGACTCTTTCCTGCCAATGTTGCTCACTCGGTGTACATCCTGGAGGATTCTATTGTGGACCCACAGAACCAGACCATGACCACCTTCACCTGGAACATCAACCACGCCCGGCTGATGGTGAGAGTGCCCTCCCCTTGGTCCCCCAAAAGTAGCTTCAGGTATATGTCACTAGGGAGTCATGAAAGAATTTTTGTTGTCTGAGGCAAATTTGGGTTACTGGGGAGTGACAGCTGTAGAGTGTAAACTCTAGACGATTTTTTTCAGCCAGAGTCTCTGGACCTTTCACCTCTTTTATACTATGGTGAGGGGTACTTGTTTTAGAGTTGTTCCAGGCACTAAATACAGAGCACTTTCACTGTGCCTGGCACACATAGAGTTTGGGCCTACAGAAGTGATGCCAAGGGAGGGAGGCACTGATTTTCAAACAGGAGTCCATTAAGCCATAAGCAGTTTCTTTGGTTGTGCCTCAGAGGGGAGAGGATCTGGGCCCCTTGCCTCCTGAGGATTAGAGGAGTTCCACCTTTGTCTGTCTTATGTAATGGGGTTTTGCCTGAGATTTTGGGAGAGGTTCGTATACCTTTTTTTTTTTTTAAGATTTTATTTATTCATGAGACACACACACACACACACACAGAGGGAGAAACACAGGCAGAGAGAGAAGCAGGCTCCATGCAGGGACCCCGATGCGGGACTCGATCCCAGGTCTCCAGGATCACGCCTGGGCCGAAGGCAGGCGCCAAACCACTGAGCCACCCAGGGATCCCCTCATATACCTTTTGATTTCAAAACTTGAGAACCCATGTTTAAAGGAACATCCTACAGTATTTTCTCATATCTGAATATATTCTAAAAGCTTTCAGGGAACTCTCTCTTTCTCAGCTAATCTTCACAGTGACTCTGGGAGGTAGGTATTGCTCTCTATTGTGCAAAAAGGGAAGTGAGGTTGAGAAAGGGGAAGTGTCACACAAGGTCATAGAGTGAGCTGGCACCTTGATGTTCTGCCCCAGAATTTTCTGAAGGCTTTACAGCTGACTGCCCTGAGGGCATAATCTGTGTTTTTATAAATTATGAAGATAGTGGCCCTGCTGTGAGCCAGATCTTTTAAGTGCTCCTCTTGGAAGTACTGGTTCACTTATGAGATCATGAAAGCTGTGACGTTTGCCAGGCTTCCAATTCTTTTTCTACCGCTGGGGAGCTCAAGAGCTGCAGTGAGCAGAAGGCAGGCTAAAGGCACTGCACACAAATCTACCAAACAAAATCCAAGGTCAGGAGGGAACCGGCACATATTTTACTGATTTCAGGTTTATATGCCTTTTAATTTAAAGGGTCAGAAGAGAGGTTTTAGAGAGCAGAATGGCCTTTATGTTATTGCTCTCTTCCTGAAATGCAGGTTGGGAATACAGTAAGGGAAAGAAGTGGATTTTCATTTTCTTGCCTCACCCTGTGACAAAGAGGCAGGGAATCAAATTTATGTGCAAGTTGGTAAAGTGAAAGACTCCCACACGATTGTGGTTGGCCTGACTCCCTGCACAGGTGGTGGAGGAACGATGTGTTTACTGTGTGAACTCTGATAACAGTGGCTGGACCGAAATCCGCCGGGAAGCCTGGGTCTCCTCTAGCTTATTTGGTGTCTCCAGAGCTGTCCAGGTGAGCAGCATTGTGAGGGTGCCAGAGCTTTGGGGGCCTGGGCACTTGGCATGAAGGCTGGACTCTAGGGATCAGTGGAAAGCTCAGAACCCATCCCACCACCACCCCCTTTTTTTTTTGCTAGGAATTTGGTCTTGCCCGGTTCAAAAGCAACGTGACCAAGACAATGAAGGGCTTTGAATACATCTTGGCCAAGCTGCAAGGTGAGGGGCTTTGGGCACAAAGAGAGGCTGGGGTCTGGTCCTAGCAGCCATGACTGGCGTGGAATCTGTAGCTGTTTTACCATCCCACTCTAAGCCTGGGACCCCTCATCTGTACCCTGGTCCAAAGAGGGTGAATGAATGTCGTGGAGGGGTTGTTGAGGTAGGTCTCTGGTGTCTTCTGAAGCTGGCCCCTGCCCTTTGCTGCAGGTGAGGCCCCTTCCAAAACCCTTGTTGAGACAGCCAAGGAAGCCAAGGAGAAGGCAAAGGAGACGGCACTGGCAGCTACAGAGAAGGCCAAGGACCTTGCCAGCAAGGCTGCCACCAAGCAGCAGCAGCAGCAGCAGCACTTTGTGTAGCTAGCCCAGGCCCTGGTGCGGTAGGACACCTGACCACCCGGCCCAATTCTCTCTGCCTTTTTCCCCTTGTACTTTATTATTAAAAGTCCACTTCCAGCCCTTTCTGCTGTCTGGGTGGTGGGTTGGGGGCGGGTGTCCTGTTTGGCCTTCATGGTGTAGCCGGCACATTGTCCTCTGAGCTGGGCCTGCCTGTTCCCACGTCGAGCAGCCAAGAGCAGGCACAGAGTGTTGGCCTGCTCAGGGTCACAGACTACATGCAGGTGTGGGGATGACAAATGCTAGACTGTAAGCTCCGTGAGGGCAGGGCCCTTGGTCATGTTCTCTGCTATGTCCCGAGTACCTGGAACATTATCTAGCACATAACAGGCACTCAATAAATATTTTTTGGATTCAATCAGCCCTAGCTCTGGAGTCAGAAAGCTTTAGCTAGAATCTTGACTCCACACCGTCCTGGCTTTGGGCCTCAGGCAAGTTATTAGCTTACTCAGCCTCAGTGCCTCGCATGAAATGGGGCCAGACAGCGAGCTCCCAGCTGTAGGGATTAAAGGGCCACTGCCTGGTACAGTGCAGTGTTGGTGATGGCTACTGATCTCATTTCCTTTTTTCCAGTTTGTGGCTGGGAGTTCCCCATTTTTATCAGGCAAGACCATGGACAGGAAGTTAGTAAAGAGGCTTTTAATGAAAATACTGTATAGTATCTGGGACAAAGGCCAGGATGCCTTCTCTAGGAAGGAATGTGAGGGCTTAAGAAGCTTCCCACCCCGCCCCACTTGGGGACAGCGGAGCTAAGTGCTACAAAGAGGGCCTGGAAGGATGGCCCAGACCAAGCTGCCTGCCCTGCAGGGCTCAGGGGAAGCCCAGGCACCCCCCCCACCGGGAGGGACTGCCGACAGCCAGCGGCAGGGTGGGGGGGCAGGCACCTATTCCCAGCTAAGGGTCCTTTTAGTTCATTCCAACAGGAGGTGACTCCGAGCAGCCCTGGAGGCTTGGGGAGGGCTCCTGCCTGGCAGAGCAGAGGACAGTCTGCGGGTAGAGGCCCGCTCCGGAGCGGTGAAGGTCATAGCCAGGTGCTGCTGCTGTGTGAGTAGCTGTGCTCCTGGCCCGCACTGAAGCCACGCAGCAGCTCAGCCTCGCCCCCGAACACCAGGCTCTCCACGTCCACCTCCACCTCCTCTGCACAGGGAGGGTCCATCAGGAGACCTGGCCCACTCAGCCCACGCCACCCCTTGGCTTTGGGCACTCACCTTGGTCTGAGTCTGAGCGCTCGGAGGAGAGGCCTGAAGAGTCCAGGCTGTCTGCCCGCGGCCGTTCCCTCTCACCCGGCCCTGCTAGCCCCCGGAGCCGCTCCAGTTGCCGCTGCAGGCTCTGCTGCTTGCTACGCAGCTTCTCCTTGAGTCGCCGCGCCTGCTGCTCCTGCTCCTCCAGCTTCTGCAGGTCCCAAGGGAACAAGGGCCTGGGGTCAGCTGCTGAGGGTGCAGGCCTCACCCCCACACCACTCAACAATGGGCTATGGCCACTTGGTGACTGCCTGCTCCACACAGTGGGGGCTTATTAGATCTGGGCCCCAGAGGGTTACTCTCACATCCTCCAGGGAGCCAGCTCTCCTTTGCTCTGGTTGGTCCTATGTAAATAGCCTGTGAGCTTCCCATGTTGATGAGTTGGGGAAAGCACAATCTCAAAGGCCCTCAGGGCCTAGTCAAGCAACATGAGTCAGGCTTGCAAGCAGCAGAGACTGGGGAGGACTGGCTCAATGGCGAGTGGACACTACAGCTCAAGAAGGTGGCTACCACTGTGTTCTAGCCAGTTATAGCCATATGCAAACAGGTCTGGTGCTGCCAGATTTCCCAATTTCTGTAAGAGAGGCTGGGAAGTCAGACTTTTTCATGTCAAATGGCCTTTTAAGTGCTGCCAACTAATTAAAATTTTTAGAAAACTATAGAACAAACAAAGGCTACCAGTTTGTAACTCCTTGTCAGGACCCTCCCAGGATCCCTATAGCTTCAATATTAATCCCTTTCAAGCTCTGCAAGCCTGGGGTCCAGGGACTGGAGGGCCAAGGGTTCTCCCACCAGAGCCCTTGGTGGGCAGAAGCCTGCATTCAGTCAACAAGGAGAGAACTGGGCAAGGGAACATTCCTACTGGGTATAGAAGGATGAGTAAGCTGTCTAGGCAAAGGTGAAGCAAGAAGCAGCATCCACTCCTAACGCTGGGAAACAGGGTTGCAGACGGGGAAGAGGGTAGGGGGACAGGGTGACTGGGTAAAGAGCACTAAGGAGGGCACATGATGGGATGAGCACTGGGTGTTATACTCTGTTGGCAAACTGAATTTAAATTAAAAAAAAAAAAAAAGCAGAAGGAAACTGGGAAGATCATGGGGAATTCAGCTTTCCTGGTGGCGCATGGGGAGATAGGAGACCAAGAGCAGACCAGTGGCAAGACCTGAGTTGTAAAGGGCCTATAGTTTCACAGGAAGTAAGGAGTGGAGACTGTCCTGTTAGGAGCCATGGGAAGGAGACAGACCTGGACAGATCTATGTCTGCAAAGAACATTCTAGGGCAAGGTGGAGGAGAGCCCCAAGGAGGCAAAACAGGAGGCCAGGGAGTCCAGAAGAGGGGTGATAGGGCTTCAAGGAAGGAGCAATCTCCAGGTCCTGCCCCATGGGCCAGCCAGCACCTGAGGGGCACACGTCCCAAGAACCTGACCAGGCAAGCTTCATGTGAGAAATGGGCCTGCTACCAGGCCAGGGCATTCTTCAGCACAATGAGGAGACATGGGCACTATGGGGCAGTGCTGACAGTCTCTGCACCGTGATTTATTTGCTGCATAGCACCTGGATCTGTGTCTACCACAGCCCCTGGTGCCTAGAACAGGTGCTCAATAAACACACGAAGGAAACTTTAAGTCAGAGGGACTTGGGCCAGGATTATGATTCTGTCTCTCGTTAGCTGTACTGCTCGGTCCTTGGCCTGGCTGTGCCCCCAAATCTTCCTCTGTGAAAAGGGCCAGGAGGGCAGGAAAAGGCCTCTATGGTTTCCCTGGCCACTTCTGTACCACCTGGAGCTGCCAGGGCTTGAGTCCACACACCCACTCCTGCCCACCAGGGGGCGCTGAGCTTAGCCCAGGCAGCAGGAGGGTGCTGGAAGAGGGGTGACTGGCTTCCTGTGTCCCTCTGCTTGCCTGGAACTGCCTCCCAAAATGGCATCAGAATAGATGGCTCAGAACAGGAGGCCTTGGAAGGGTGGGAGAGGGAGAGTAAAAACCTCTGCTGTCCTAGGGACCCTGGCACATGACACATCCGAGTATTTCCATCAGCCATGCCCCTCTGTACGGAGAGGGAAATCAAGTCCAGAGAGGCTGAGTAACCTGCCTCAGGACTGAAGTGATAATAGTTGTAATAACCATGACTGTTTATTGGACAAACTCACTTAATCCTCAGAGCAATCCTCTTGAGTTATTTTCTGCTTTTCTTCCTACTTAACACATATGAGAAGAAGCACAGAGAACTGTACCGCGTCACACAGTTGGGCTCTGACCTCAGGCCTCTCTCCCCAGTTCCACACTCAGCCCTTCTCTATTGTCTCTCCCACAAGGTCTGGCAGGTTGGTCCCAGGGCAGGGGGTAAGCTCCTTACCTGGATATGCATCCTGGCCCAGCGCAGAAGGCTCAGTGTGGTAGAGCGGGCACAGTCAGCCCCCAAGGGCATCTGTTGTTTTAGCTGCTCCAGGCACCGCTTCAGCTGGGCCCTCCTGTGGGAGGAGGGATCTGGAGGGCAGTGCTAGCCCAGCCTGGCAGGCCAGAGGGACAGCAGGGGGAGGAAAGGCCATAGGGGGTTGGTTCCTGGGCCCAGTGCTGTCAGGGCAAAGCTACAACTCACCTACGTTTCTCCAGCTCGTTGTGCACAGACCTGCCAATGCCAGGGAGGATGGGGTAAGGGTACGTCAGCTACTACATACACCCTCAAAAGTCCCAGGGGCTTAAGATCCACTATAGACGTGGCCCCAAACCAGCCTAATGTGACTTTGTCAGCCTTGCCTTGAGCATTGGGGTCCGCAGGCAGAGGCAGAGACATGCTGGGGCCAAATGCTGGGAGGCCTGCTCTGGTGGTTGTGGGGTCCAAAGGAAGGGTTTCCTAGACAGAGGTGACAGTTGAGCTGAGCCAGAAACATGCTACCCTAGGTGGGTTAGTGGAGGGAGAGGCATTAAAATTGGAAGGGATAGCATGTGCAAAGGGTTGAGAAAAGAGAAGAAGCCGGCGGGGGTGGCAGGGGAATCAAGTGGAGATGTGTGAGTGGAAGGAGGACCCTAAAGTCTCTTGTTTATAGTTTGACACATCAGGGGTGCTCAAGAAGTAGTCCCTGAATGAACAGAGGGGAGTGAAGAGATGGCAGGAGGGGTCTGAATTGCCTCCAGAGCAGAGGACGTGGCCCAGAAGATGCAAGCAACAAGGAGGAAGTGGGCAAAGGTGAAGCCCCATGAAGGATGGCACCCATCCCCCCTCCGCTCCCCACCGTCCCCAGCCCTCCTCACCGCCCACTGTCCAGCGCGCCAGAAGTTTGGGGCGATCGCTTCCTCCTCCGGTAGACTGGGCCTGGACTGCGGTGCGGGTACAGGGACGCGTAGCCGTGCTCGGCTTCTGCCGGAGAGAGCCCCGGCCCGCTTCAGGCTGGGGCTGCTTCCAGCAGGCGCCCCCAGCAAGGCCCGGTCAGGGAAGGGCTTTTGGCGCCAGGGCCGTTTCCCCAACCCCTCCCAGTCTGACTGCCCGTGGACCCCTCCCCCACCCCCAAGTTGAGGGCGGGGTGCCCCGGGGCTACAGTCTAAAGCCAGGCAAGCATCCTTCTTGTAGGGAGCCAAGTCCGACCCAGGCCTCTGGCAGCGAGGCTGCCGCCTGGAGTCTGGCCAAGAGTTCTTCCTCACCTCTCTCGCGGCGCTCTAGGAACTCGGCCGCCTGCAGCAGCACCTGGATATTGCTGGCCACGGGTTCCATGTCGGCGACGGGTGGCGGCGGGTGGGCCTAGGGTGCTGGCCCCAACCGCAAAGCGACTGCACCACTTTTGTTACAATGTAACTGACACGGTGCAACAAACACAGGGGCCGGCCCCGCCCCTGGGACACCCCGCCCCCGGACCGCCCAGCTCTGGACCCCGCCTCCTTGGAAGGGGCCGAGGAGCAGCCGACCACCTCTCCGAGCCCGCCCTTCTCCTCAGACTGCCGGGACTGCGAGGGGCGCCGATTCCGGCCCCAGCCTTACGAGTGAACCCCCGGGCTGAAAGGGGCTGCGTCTTGCCCATTTCGCTCAGCGACCCCGCGCCGACTGCTTAGGGCCTGCTTAGGTATCTCAAGGCCTCGGTTTCCAGCCCCAAGCTGACAGCGAAGGCTCTGCACCTAGAATGGTACTCCGGGAGCCCAGGGTCTTAGCTGCTGCACGTGGGCGCCGCAGGGGCGGGGCCGGCGGGCACCCTCGCCCATTTGCCCGCTGCCTCCTGGGGCTCGCTGGCGTCACCTGCGGGGCGGGGCCGGAAAGCTTCCGGGGCACTATTGGCCAAGTGCGGCCCCGCCCTCTCCCTCTGCTGGTCCACACGTTCAGGCGGGAAAAGGAGCAGGTTTCAAATTTGAAAACCCGGGCCATCCGGGCGGGGTTGGGCGGGGAACGGAGCTGCAGTGCGCAGGCGCCAGGGGAAGGGGCACAGATCTGCTCCTATGCTCGAGGGTCTGTGCCCTAGCCGGCTTACCATCTGCCCCCGTAAGTCCCCCCCCCCGCCCCGGTCCTCAGCTTCCTATTGTGGCGAAGGGGAATGGTCTCCTGGCTCCTCCTCATCAGCAGGGAAGCTACTGTTGCTACGAAACTTTCAATAGGGCACCAATATTCCAAGCCAGGCCACGCTCTGGAAACAAGCGAACTAGCTTTCAAGGGAGCCCTAAGTTCTGGAGCCCAAAGAGTTAGGTTCCTCTCCTGCCCCCGCTGCTTCTCAGCTGTGTGACTCGGAAGTGACCTCCCTCCTGTATGTTCAGGAAGCCCTGTGACGACAGCACTGTCGCAATATCAGAGCTCTTGCCCATCCGTGCCCAGTACGTTGCAGCTATTGACTTCTGAGACTGGTGTAATCAGACACAGGTTTCTTCCTCCCACAGAACCCCTGGTTGCCTGAGTCCAGGAACACTTCTTTAACATGACTTTTTAGCCTCCCAAAGGGAGTCGATACAGTGACCTCTAGGAGCAGCAGGAGCAGATGTGGTCACACCTGGGTGGAGGCAGGAAGATGAAAGCACCTGTTACAGGGTGCTGCACTATAGCCAGACTGGTGCTGAGTGTGAAATGGCTAAGAGGAACTAGATTCTGTATTAAGAGATACTCCTGGGAAACACATGATACATGGCAGTCAGTCCTCAGGAGAAAAACCTTTGGGTTTCTCTAAGAGTCACTCCCAGAGGAACTGCTGACATGCTCAGCCAAACTGCTGCCTACAACTGTCCACCTATGCACCCATCCATCCATTCACTCACAAGATATTAGCAGAGCAGTTAATGGACCCCAGGCTCTGTGCCCAGGACTGGAGAATACAAAATGGGCAAAACCAGAAAGGGTTCCTGCCTTTGCAGAGCTCACAGGCAAGGGGGGCAAGGATGGACACAGTTATCACAAAACAGAGTGACAGTTGTGCCAGACACTCATAGGAAAAGACACAGCATGAAGGCAAGTCCTAAGGAGCATTTGTCCTAATGAGGGAGGTCAGAGAATGTTTTTGGGGAAGACGATGAATGGGTAATCAATCTCTCTGTACAGGAGGTCTGCAGGGAAACTGCAGACACAGGAACAACAGGTGCAAAGGCCGGAGGATGAAAAGAATGTATACAGACCCAAAGAAGGCCACTGTGGCTGGCATACGGCAAGCAAAGAGCACAGTGTGGGATGGTGCCAGAGATGCTGACAAGGCCCACAAGAGGCTGACTGGTCCTCCAAGCCTCCATCCACCGTCAGCTATGTCTGAAGAAAGGCCGTCACAAGGCTTGTGGATGAATTCCCAATTTCATTTCACTGAAGTCAGCACCCACACAGCACAGGTGCAAACCTACTATTCAGACACAGGCGACCCAGAAGGCCCAGCCCTGGGGAGTGGGGGGGAAGGAGATGGTGGGAGGGGTTCTGAAGGAGGAGGGTTCCCAGCAGCAGAGGGGAGCAAAACACACTTGAAGAGCTAGTGACCTCCGACTGAAGTTGTGGAAGTGAGAGCACGGCTGTAAGAGCACCAGAGTGACCCCACTGAGAAGTGGACTCTGTCCTCAGAGCCCCGGTGGGTACGAGACTGAGGCCCACCTGGCCTCCAGGCCTCGTACATAGATGGGTCCCAGCCACCAGCCAGGGGGACAGGAAGCAACACTTCCCAGAAACGGGGGGGGGGGGGGGGGGCGTGGAGGATGGGAGAGGATGTGTCATGTGTCTTCTTCCTCCACTTGTAAGTTTCCTTTTTATCTTGGTTTCCAGCTGTTGCCTATGATATGCCTGGCTGTGATTTCTTGGTATTTGTCTTACTTAGAATGTTGTGAGCTTCTGGAAAGTTTTTCAGTCTTTATTTCTTCAAATATTTTTTCCTGCCCTTTTTCTTTCTCCTCTTACTCTGATCCCAATGTCATATATCCTCAGTCTGAGAATATATCAATGCAAAGTGATGTTGTTAATGTTTTCAGATGTTTTTTTTTTTCAATCTGTCTGCTTCAGTGTGGATAAGGCCTACTTGTCTTCAGATTCACTTATTCTTTCTTCTGTGAAGTCCAATTTGGTGTTTAGCCCATCCAGTGTGGTTTTTATTTTAGCCATTTTATTTTTCAGATCTAGAATTTCCATTTGGTCCTTTTTAAAGTTTTCTATCCATATCCCAGAATATCTCATTACCTCATGTATTGTTTTCCTAGGACCATAACAAAGTACTATAAAATGAATGGCTTAAAACAACAGAAATGTAGTCTCTAAAAGCTCTGGAGGCCAAGAGTCCAAAATCAGGGCTTAGCAGGGTTACTTCCACCTGGCAGTTTGGTGGGACAATCTGTTCCAGGCCTCTCTCTGCACTTCTGGTGGCTGCCAGCAATCCTTGGTATTCCTCAACTTGTAGATGTATCACTTCAATCTCTACTTCTATATTCACAAGCCCTTTCCCCCTGTGTCTCTCTGGGTCCAAGTTTCCCTTTATTTTTCTTTTGTAAGATTTTATTTATTTATTCATTCATGAGAGACACACAGAGAGAACAGAGACATAGGCAGAGGGAGAAGCAGGCTATCCTAGGAGAAGCACAATGCAGGACTCGATCCCAGGATCCTGGGATTACAACCCAAGCCAAAGGCAGACACTCAACTACTGAGCCACACAGGCACCCCCAAATTCCCCTTTCTTATAAGGACACCAGTCACTGAATTAGGGCCCAATATTAGGACGTCATTTTAACTTACCTAATTACATCTGTAAAGACTCTATTTCCAAATTAGGTCACATTCTAAGGTTCCGGATAGACAATAATTTTTGAAAAATACTCAACTCATTATATCCCTTCCCTCTTCTAGTTATTATTCTTTCCCCGTTACTTGTTATATAACAGTTTATGTCCATATCTGCTAATTCCAGTAACTTGAGGCTTTTCTGTGGAAATACTATTTTTTAAAAAAATATTTATTTGAGAGAGGGAGAGTGCCAGCAAGGGGAAGGGCAAAAGGAGCAGGAGAGAGATAATCTTAAGCAGACTCCTCACTGAGCGGAGAGCCTGATGTGGGGCTCTATCCTACAACCCATGAGATCATGACCTGAGCCAAAACCAAGAGCCAGTTGCTTAAGTGACTGAGCCACCCAGACGCTCCTGGAACATCTACTGACTATGTGTTCTCCTGATTGTAAGACATGAAAGAAAGAAAATGTGCTGTATAATTTTTGATTGTAGAACCTAAGAGCAAAAAGAATATAACTATATCAAAGCATGTGTGCATTCGCGTGTGTGTGTGTGTGTGTGTGTGTATTTGTTTCATTCATTTTCCTAAGAGACCAAGCAAGTCCTTACCTATCTAGCAGTTAGAGCAAAGGGCTTATGATTTGGATTCCTCTTGAGTAAAGTTTTCTAAGGAATTTAACCAACTGTACAGAAAAGTGAACACAGTCACCTCTTATACCAACCGCAAGGGAATTCCTAAAACAACTGCTGGGTATGATTTGCTAGGACTCACAAAACCCACTCACAGCTACAATACTCCCTGCATACACAGTGTGCAGTATTATAGTTTATTATAGGGAACGGATACAGATTAAGATTGGCCAAGGAAAGGAGCTCATGAGTCTGGGAACTAGGAGATGCAGGCCTGTCACTCTCTCTCCCCATCCATTTAGGTCGTGTGACTTTCCCAGTATCAACGTGTGACAATGCACAGAGTACTGTGTACTAGGGAGGCTTTTCCAAGATTCAGTACTCCGTTTTTGGAGCTCTATTACATGGGCATGATTGAGCACTCATGAGGTTGATGTCAAGTCTCCACTGGACTGATACCATGGGACCTAAAGCCCCAACTTAAATCACATTATTTGCTGGCTAGCCCAAGGCCTCTGGGCAAACAAAGCTCATCTTCCAAGAGCTGAGGGCAGAAGACAGAGACTTCTTTTGCAGCAAAATGCCACCACCACCACCTTTGGCCAAGACTCTTACAGCAAAATAATCATATTCCCTAACATTTGGAGGGGCCAATGTGGAAGTAGGGATAGATTTAAAGAAACAACTAATATAAAGCTTATAAAGCTAGTACATATTCATATTTTTTTCCTAATTTTTCATTTCCCCCTTTGTATCTTATGATAAAGTGGAGCAGAGCTATTCAGCTTAGAAATTAGCTGACATTGGGGCACCTGGATGGCTGAGTCAGTTAAGCGTTAGACTCTTGATTTCGGCTCAGGTCATGATCTCAAGGTTGTGGGATGAGTCCCACGCTGGGACTCCTTGCTCAGCAGGGAGTCTGCTAGAGATTGTTTCTCTTCCTCTCCCTGTGCCTGGCTTCCCCACCATGTGTGTGCTCACTTGCGCTCTCTCTCAAATTAATTAATTTATAAAAAATTAAAAAAAGGAAATTAGCTGACGGTGAGGTAAACCCAATGCTTTCTCAAGCTTTCTCCATCTGTGTTACTTCCTGGTTGTTGTTTTTTTTTTTAAGATTTTTGTTATTTATGAATGAGAGAGAGAGCAGGAGGAGGAGCAGAGAGAGAGGGACAAGCGGACTCTGCACCAAGCATGGAGCCCAACACAGGGCTCGATCTCAGGAGCCTGAGATCATGACCTGAGCTTAAACCAAGAGTTTCACACTTAATCTGAGTCACCCAGGCACTCCCTGAGTGCGGGGGGGGGGGGGGGGGGGGGGCTTTAACTCGATTTCCCAATACATTTGACCATGACTATGAATATCAGTATTGTAACAGGGCCACTGCTACACCCTATCACGCAGTGTGCTAGGATATGTGTCCTGAAAGGCTCTGGCACATTAGTAGAGTTCCATTCAGTCATTAACAATTTGTCCAGTCCATCATCACACAGTGTGACTGAAATGTCCCCCAGAGTGATGCCATTTAGGTTTGCAGACTCCCATTCAGTTTTTTTTTAGGTTCCAAAAGCAAGAGTGGTCTCACAGCAACATGAGTCTCCGCCCTTTCAGGCACCAAAGCCACACTGTCATGCTCTCATTGCATAGGCCACTCATTCA